AAGTGTAGAAAAAGAGGCGGGCAAGGAGAAGGAACTAAGACTTCAAGCGATATACGTTATTAACTAATTGGAGCCCGGTATTACTACGTACAATAATTACGATCTATCATCCGGTTTTTCACGAAAGGGGAATAATAAAAACCTTCTTCAAATTTACTTAAAGCTTCAAGAGGCGAGAAAGAAGGATAAAAGATTAATACTTAAAGATAGGGTAGTTATTAACCGTTTAGAATCTACTATTCCAACCCCTAAGAGTTACAACTAATTAACTAACCCTTCTTCGAATCTTTATACCAATAAGCGCGCCCGGTTGGAATTAATAGTTAAAATCGAAATAGAGGAGAACCTAATTCTTTATAACGAAACTAAGGCTACTACCACTATAATTGGCTCGGACAATGTAGCGGATAACTTATTTAACAACCTTTACTCTCCCGACTAAATAGTTTAAGAAATTATTATAGTATCTATGGAATTGGAACCTATAGAGCTGGCCTTAGAAATGCCTTCATTTACTCCCGCCAATCTTAATACGGAGGTTTTAGAATTTACCGACTAAAACGCTATCGGCATAGTAAATTCCAATATTAAAAATACTAATACCTAATAGTTTCCGGTCCTAAGGGTAAGGTCGCCGAGGTCTCTTACACTTTCCTTAGACTCGAAAATTACCTTTTAGAAAGACGAAAAGCGTTTATTTACAGGGTCTATAACGATTGAAAATAAGGCAACTACTATTTATACTATATATATAGCGTCCTAAACCTCTTTATTCGTAAATAGCGTACCGTAATTGAAAATCTTTAGGGATAGATTAATTAAGGATAGAAGGTCGAATTTAAGGCCGGAATAAACTTAGAAACTTAGAAGTTATAGGGTTACTTTTAAAAATCTATTCGATAATACAGTTCATTTTATCTCTCGAAACAAAAACCCTGCTCGATTCCTCGCGCATCCGAGCGTTAGGGTATACTAATAGGATATTGATAATAACTATATTTTCGAAGAGGAAGGGGAAATCTACAATAGCCTTTCTTAAATAGTAGATTTTACTATCCTATATTTTAGGGTTAAGAAAGCCTTTTTTATTACCCAAATCGAACTTACCGTAATTTCCCAAGGTCTCGAAACAGCGATCTGATTAAATTACGAACATTAACTACCAACGTCGGTCGTAACCATTTTCTCTGATTTAAAAAGCATTCTACCTAGGATCAATCGAAGCGTTATTGCTTATCTAAAAGGTATAAAGTTAACGCTCTGGAACAAGCTTTCTAACCCCCTGGTCCAAACTATAATTTAGTAATCGTATTATTTGCAAGACCGTAGGTACTAAGTAGAACTTACTTAGAATTCTCGATACAATGCTCTCGGTCCTTCTATTACCGATACTACAACTAGCGCATAGAAAGAGTAGCCGGAATTAAAAGAGATTAAATGGTCGCAACGCTATCTTCCCCTTTGTCATGGGGCTAGTGCCCGTGGCTGAAATGCCTGGCAATCTTGCCAGGCGAGTGCTCCACTCTCGCGGCAGGCAACATTGGCCTGTGCGTGCGCACGTCCCCTCTTTAGGACAGCCGGCCAGACTGCCCAGAGGGCGTCCCTTTCTCCCCTTCTCTCTTCGTAGAACCTTATCGATTCTTTTGGCCAGCATCTGTGTCAACTATGCTGTACCCCTTACACCCTTGACGTTAAGGAGGGTATTATAAATAAATTGAACGAAACTACTAACGAGCTGATCCGAGGATACGAAGTATAAACGGTAGTATATTTGATAAAGTAGATTAACAGACCCTACAATTTGTTCTCCGCCGAGGGTAACTAGTAGAAGAAGAGTTCGACGAGAAACGGGCAGAAAGAATAGTTAAAAAGTATATATAAGAGTAAAAAGATATTAAGCAGCCCAATTTATAGTTTTTACGAATAATACAGTTACTTCTTATAATAGCGATTTATAGAATAATTATTATCTACATTACCATTACAACCATGTATACCACTTTGACTGCCAAACTGCCAAGTCCAGTTACTTGTACCCTTTTCCACGGGAGCACGAGCCGCATAGTGTAATAGTCTTTCAGCGCCGTAATACATTCAGACCATTGCAGGGGTAGTGCATAAGGTAGTGCATGGGGTAGTATATGAAGTAACTTAGAATTAAGAACAAAGAAAGTATCCATAGCTAAAGAAGGAATTAATTAAGAAGACAGTAAATAGTACTAAATATAGGAAAGTAAGGTAGCCTATAGTAGCAAAAGCAAAAAAAAAAAAAAAAAAAAAGGAAATGTGTGGCCCGTACCGGATTCGAACCGGTAACTTCCACTCTACCACAATACCGCGTTCAGCACGACAATGCGTCAGGATAGGTAGTATTAACCGTTACATCAACGGACCACGGGAAGATGCGTAGGAAAGGAACCTTACATACCCTAGACCCAGTGCATGGGCCGGTCGGAGTTGGGATGAGGAGGGGCACGGTGGAAGCGGCCGACTAGGCGACCAGAAGGGTAGCAGCCCGGCAAAGGAGGGCAGGCAAGAGCGGCAGGCAGGAGCGGCAGGCACCGCTGGACTAGCCTTCAATTCATTACAACGACTCAATAAGAGAAATGATTGTCCACATTACAGTTAAATAACTATATCGCAACTCATATATCAAAGAAACCAACGAGCTGATTAGGGACGTGTAAACTGGCTATCTTAGTACCTACACTTATATAACCGTGGAGCCGGAGGTCGAGTGGAATCTTGGGTGCAGTGGTATATCTTGGTACCTCAAACCGAACGACGCTCCGACGGAACTGATACGAAGACACGAAACATAAACATTGGTGGATTTGATGAAGAGCTTGACTGAATTCCCGCATAGATATCCTGAACTTGTGGTAGAAAAAGCATAAAGGAAAAAAAAAAAAGTGTGACCCGTACCAGATTCGAACCGGTAACTTCTAAGCTGGACAGTAGGCCGCTGCGCAGAACGACGAAGCATCAGCCAAGTAGTTTTGACCGTTACACCAACGGACCACGGGAAGATGCGCATGAAAGGGACCTCATATACCCTTGGACCCATGCCCTTGGCCCGTGGGAGTTGGGATGAGGGAAGGGCAGGCAGGAGCGGCAGACACCGCTGGGATTTGTTTAATTTCCAACGACCAACTGAATAAAATGGCCGTTTGTCTATATTTGAGTAAAGGACGTTATAACGTATAACCTGCTGGTTATAAATATATCGCAAGTTCCATGTCTGTAAGGCGTGCAATTAAGGCGTTGGGGCATTGAGGGGGGTGTTTTACGGAGGTTGACACTGGTGCAGTGCGGGGCAAGCAAGGGGTGTGTAGGTTCTAAGTGATAAGATAAGGGGTGCACCCTTTATCGATAGTAAATATGTTGGTGCTGTGATTGGTCAGCTGTCGGTTATCGACGTCTCTTATCTGCATGTGCTGGGTCATGTGAGACTTACTAGGCTCCATTTTGAACGTCATTCCATTTTACGTCGTCTGTTTCCTCCTGGAAACAACTTCAAGAGACAACATCGAGGTTGCGCATCATCACCCTACAATCGCAAAAATCCCCGCTTCGAGCTGGAAGAACAGACATCAGTTCTCGACATGCTGAGCCCCCCGTCCTTTCTATCTTCACTGCCTCTTGTCTCTCCACCATCTGGTGACCGATTTCTTCGTGGACTTAATCTTCCACCTACGGTGACCTCCCGCTCTTGCTTTGCGACTGGACAACACCAATGAAGCGCGCGATCTTTTCCCGTCGGAGTCCCGGAGCTGCACCACTACCAAACGGCAAGGCTTCGACTACCACCCCTCAGTTCATCAACAGCTGGGACAGCCTGAACTGAGCTCACAGCCACATTCTCAGGCATTGCGATAGTCAAGTTGCACCCTCTCGAATCTGTCACTATGTTCAGTGGCAAGAGATAACAAACTGAGCAGTCTTCGAATCAGACCTTGAAGCTTGAGAGCTCCAGCTACTCGTGCCTCACTCCCACTTTTTTGGATCTCGCCAGACTCGCACCAACAGGCACGGGTACCACCATGGGCCGGCCGTGAAGCCGCGATTGTGCCTATTGGTCGCTTGAGTTTCGAGCGCACTCTAATTTGCAGATAATCAACAGCTAGCGCTGTCTTTGACATCCAGAACACGGGCTGCTCAAGCCACAAATACGGCCTGCTTCGTTCACACCCACTTGTTCGCAGACAAGCTCAAAAGACATATTTTGAGGGCAGTAAAGCAGATGGAGGGACACACACCCGCCCTATCGGTCGACGGTCTGCCTTGGATGGCGATACTTCTCGTCCATGCCAGAGGATAGCCAGACTGAAACACGGTCGTTACTATGGTGCCCATTGCAATTTTCCCTTTGTACTGAGCGCCTTGCTCTCCGCATCCCCATGCCTTCTCTCCTCGTTCGCAAACTCGATCTCGCACCTCGCCATTCTTTTCCCTTCCGTCCGTTCTTTCTTATACAATCCGTTTCCTTCTTGTGGCCGGTCAGATGAGCTGTGATTTCATCCGAACTAGCTGCCCTATCTAGTCCCAGTTTCTGCCTGCCGTATGCCCTTATTTTCTCCCAAATCTCTGCCTGCAGTTCTACGCGACTCTTGTTTAACTCACGGGGCACGTGTCACGTCCTTTCTTCTTCTTCTCTTTCTTCTCACCACACCAACCATTCGACCCATTGCTTCACTCGCAAAAGTTACCTGAAAACCACAAAACATTCTCCAGCACAACGTGTTACGCGTCTGCTCGTGGGTCTCAGCGTACACTATACAACAACAGTAGCGTCTTCGACAACAGGGCTTCTTGATCTGACCATCGGCGTTCTTGTAAGTACAAGTGGCGTCAGTTTAGGAGTTTATCTTCAACTTAAACACCTTTAGCCCCGGCTACTACCACTTGTCAGCCATGCAAGGTCTCCGCGCTCTCCTACGCCTCTGAACAACGAGCGCATTGCCCTGTGGAAACAGGAGACACGACACTTCCCCGGCACAATGACCATGGATACCCCCGACCAGGCCAAAATCAGAGCCGAAAGGGCGTGTACCTCTCCTCTCTGGGTCAATGGCGTGCCGCAGATCATCATCTTCTGTGATAGATCACGCAAGTGTGAGAGAAATCGGGAGTCCGAAGCCACCAGCGGCGACTAAGGGGTTGTACTTCGCAATCCCTGGGCCAACAACGTCGACAACGTGGACAACCAGGAGAGAGCAGCTGCCGGTTCCGCTGCCGCTCCCATGCCCTTTGGCTTCACATCGCAGTCGGGCTTCGGTGTCCGGTCGTGGAGCTACAAGAAAGTTTACTCCGCCGCTCACGTTGAATCCGGCGCCCTCGCACAATCTCTTGATGTCGCCCTTCAGCTCGTGGAGCACCATCGTCCTGAACCAGCCATAATCGAGCTATTTACCGACTCACAGGAGTGCTGGCACCGTATCGACCGCGGACTGCACCACAAGGCTTGGCGGTTTTCGGTCAAACATATCTCGCCAATTATGCGGGCAATCGTTTGGATGTCTTACCATCTGAAAGAGTTGGGTGGTGAACTGAAAGTCCATTGGAATCCCCGGAGGTGCGCAATTGGCCCTGAGCTGGCCGATGATGCTGCAGGCAGGCAGTCCAAGATTGGCGATGACATATTGGACTGGGTAGGCGCTACAAGGACGATCATCAGCAGGCTATTAACAGACGCAAATCCCCGCGTGTGGGTGGCAGTGGCGGCGACAGCCAAGAGACCAATTACGCCAGCCAAACCAGCTCACAAGCCAAGCGTCGCAAGACGAAAAAGGTCTCCTTCAAATCGAAGAACGTCATTAGAGATTCAGAGGAACCGACCAACGATGAAAACGACAATGAGGAGGACGATTAGAGGAGGAGCTGGAGTTCAATCAGCGAAATCTCCCATTGCATGAGAGGGATAGAATCCTTCTTATGTTGAATGAGGAGATCGGGGCGGTTGTACGAGAGCGGGAGATGCCACCTCTGCCTCTTCCGGATTGGTTCGGTCCTTGGTGAGTGTTGGGTTGTTTGTGTTATTGGTGTAAAGATGAGAAAACCGGGGCGCACCCATACCTTTCCTCCATGCACCCATATATCCATCAATGCCAGCTGACATGTAAAAACCGTTGTTTTGTATGGTAAAATCGCGTTTTCTCGTGTCTTCTGGCATCCCTGCTAAAATCGCCAAGTTCATTGGGATCGCCACAGTCGTGATACTTTCGTGGTGTTGAGTGCAAGTCCGCCCGTGCAACTCTAGCTGTGTAGTGCAAATCTATCTCTTGTTTACCTTATTTACTTGGTGGTATCTATCCTTGTTGTTCTACTCCTCCTCGTCGTCGCTAATCACAATGGAGTTCTTCTGACCTCCCTCCCTCTCCGTCTATATTACCTAGGGATTACGGTCATTCTTGTCGTCATTGCAGGGTGGTGTTGGGTCGTGGAGATGTGACGTGCAACATGCCTCGAAATTGCTAAGTTCAAAAAGGGGTGCAAGACTGGCCAAAAATTTTACGAAATGATGTGCAATGTTTCGATCATTGAAATGTGGTATTTTCACGGCTAAAAGTGGACTTTTGAATGTCGGGTGTCATCGACTGTCATAGGGTGCCAAGGACCCTAACCCTCTGGGACTATGGGTGCATGGAGGAAAGGGATGGGTGCGCCCAGGTTTTCTCGTAAAGATCACTTGTTGAAATACTCACTGGCATGGAAAGCATAGAGTTTGTGGGGTTTTGTCTTGTTGTTGAGCGTGGAGTACGGATTGTTTCGGAACATAGCATCGGTGTTGGGCTGTTGGCTTTGAGGGCAACATATGTCTTGATAATGTGTAAGAGTTATTTGCTTAATCTTCGTTTGCAGACCGCATCTGCATCATTGTCAGTGTCGATGAAAGAGGAATGGGATGTTGCATGACCGAAAGGTTGATGCTGATGACTTGGGCCAGGGAATAAGAGGAAAGATATCTCGATTTGGGAATCATTGGTGACTGACGCACTCACGACAGCGCCCCACTTGATGCTTCCCAAGTGTTTGACAGGTTTATCAGAATATAACCATGGCTTCTTCCTCCAAAACGAGTCCTTACCGTGCCACCCTTCACGCAGATATAACTATCACATCCCTACGCGAGTCCCCGACGACATGGAGACAAACAGTCAGCTCCTCACCCCTTGGACAGCACTTCTTGCCGAAAAGCAACCTCCCAAGTCACAACTTGTTGACATCCAATCCGAAATCACCAAAATGCGTCTCCCAATTTCATCCCTCCATACCTCCCTCCCCTTCCTCCTCCTCATATTCCTTGGATCCAGCCAGCGCTGGAGATAACTCAATTCAACTCAACTCGAGGGTTCGAGTTAGTTGAGTGGGTCAACTCAAAATCCCGAATTTGACCCCATCGATACCTGTATGAACCCCTTCTCCACACCCGCCAACACAACCTACAACAACATAACCATACTAAACCGTCCTCATTGGCGCAACTTCGCGCACAACAACCACACAAGCGACGGTTCCACCACCATTAACGCTCCCGGCACCGGTTTACTCGCTATGTTTGTCACGTTTATGTTGGCGATAATGGTGGGAATTTCGATCGCTTCGGCGGGAGCGTTGGTTATGTTGGTGGTGGAGGTGGTGGTTAATGTTGTGGGGACTGTGTTTTTCCTTTTGAGTAGTTGGTGGATGGGGGTAGGTGAAGTGGAGGGGGAGTAGGTAGTCGGAAGTGAAAGGAAGTAAGGAAGTAGACTGAGGGTTGAGGGTGGTGAGGCGAGAGGGGGAAAAATGACGAAGACAAACTGTATGATCATCATACAATGTTATACTGGCTGCGAAATATCCACAAGTGTACCTCTAGATATGATATGGCTGGTGTGCACTATGACTAAGTTCGCCGACGAAGTTCTTTTTGTCAACAAAATTCGGAAGGGTACACTATGTAGGATGTAGGCAATGCCACAGAACACTGTGGCGGCAGGAGGGGAAAAGGGCAGTCGATGGAAACAGCGGCAACATAGTGGCGATGGCCAGAGGCGAAGCATGAAATAAAACATGGTAGCCTGCACCAAGCCCTCCACCCTCCTGGGGGGTATATAGCCCAGGTTATTGACCGTCTTTTCCGTGGCCCGCTAGTGCAGCCGGGAGTAATGCGAGAGAGCTCTTCGTGAGATGTTACCAAGTAAACTGGAAGCTGCCGGTTCAAGTCCGGCGCGGGTCACTTTTTTTGGACATTTTCCTTTTTGCTTTGATTATACTCGTTGGGCTGGCTCTCCAGCATAGGTCACAGAATGTGTTCTTCCAGCAGGTACACTCTCACAATCTAAGTTCTTGCTTGGGATAAGAAGCTCGCTGGCTAACTCTAGTGGTCATCGACTCTGGTGGTGATCATCTTTCGGGCGCTTTGCTTTTTCAAACGAAGCTTGACTCACCCTCAGCCATCGGTGTGCCCAACGCTCCTTCCATCCCAACTCTCCGACCTTCCTTTTGCCCCTCTCATGCCCACTTTGATGAACCACTAGCTCCTTCTTCGTACCGTATTGCCCCGCCTCCGGCCCCTCTCTATGCAAGTCCCGTTCCGACGCGAGTTTTCAACGCGCCCACAGCGTTGCGTTTGAGAAAACCTCCGCGAACTCTAAGCCTAACCTATACGCACTCTAAGACCCATATGACAGCTGTCATATAAATACGGTCGTTTTGTATGGTAAACTGGGGTCTTTCAATGTTCCAAACCTCGCTCCCGCCAGAGTAAAAGTCGTGATACTTTTCGTGGTGTTGTGAATCTCCTATATCGAAGTGATTTGAACCCACCAAACCCGGCACGCACAGTCAGCCCAGCACAGTCTTAATACCTCGTCCTCCTCTTCTTACGCCTCTTTTATCTATTCAATTACTTAATATTAGTATTAGCAACATAAATGCACTTACTAAACTATAGGTAGAGCTTCCTCCCTCGATGGAGGTATGGGAGTGGTGGGCTAAATTCCTTCTTTAAGCATCTCAAAACCGCCAAGTTCAAAAAGGGGTGCAAAACTGGCCAAAGATTTTACGAAATGTGGTACAATGTTTTGTGCACTGAAATAGGGTATTTTCACGGGTAAAAGTGGACTTTCTGATATCGGGTATTATAGGGTGTTATAGGGTGCCAGAGACCCTAACCCTTGGGATTTTATAGGTCTTAAGAGTGCGTGTAGGCTAACCTTAGAGTGCGGGGAGGTTTTCTCTTGCGTTTCCTTCCTCTACTTCTCCAGCTCGCGCTTATTGCCCTTCCAGCAAACAACCCCGTCGCAACTTGCACCCACGCCCCTCTCACTTTGATCTCTTTCCCTGCTGTTCAGATTGCAAAGAGCCGCATTCCCTCCACGCTCTTTCGGCTCGTTCGGCGAACTCTTTCCGATTACCCGTTGCGCGCTGACAGTCTGTGAAGAGTAAGTCTCCCTCTCGCATCACTTCAGAGGTGAAAGGTCAAGTGCGGTTCAACTTCAAATGCGAGTCAACTGGACCAAGGACAGTGACTCTAGAGCCTAACGCAATCTAACGACATATTCATCAGGTAATACTTCATCTTGCCCTGCCATGGAGGCACCTGATGCTGCTCCGACTCGGAGCCCTCACCACGAGAATCGCGCGCCGGAGCTTAGCGGAAGCAAGAGGTTGACAGACGAGACACCCATTCAAAGTACAACAGAAATGATTGCGAACGTTGCAAAAAAGCGGCGACTTGACGAGTCAGGTGCAGCGCAAGTCATACTCGGGTTGACAGAAGCCGAAGATGATAGCGGGGCCAGAATGGTGGCGGCAGAATCCGACGCTCTTTCCGGTCATGCAAAAGCGCCCTCCAAGTCATCGCCAATGCATCATCCGGATGCACAAGAAAATTCCCGTCACATCCTACAATCTATAGGACTGTGTTTGTTTTGGTGCGGTTTTCGTATAAAGGGGTCTGTACGACTGTTTTTGTACGAAAACCGTACAAAAGTAGTGTCGTTTGGTCGGTTGCCGTGAGAAAATGCAATCTGCGACCCCCTTACATCAGCCTCGCATAGCCTTGTTCGGGTTAGGGTTATATATGGCTAAAAATCGTACATTTTTCGGCATGATCGTACAAAACGACAAAATGTATACATGCTCGAAAATGCAGTCAATGCCGTACATCCACCTCCTGCACTCTGTAATGCTCTGTAAGTTCCAAGGAACTCCAGCACACTCGGCCAGAGCTCGAGCCCTGTACCCCCTATAAGAGGCGCCTGACATCGTCCCTGTCGTCGCATTCAAATTTCAATTGAACTACCTCAAGTAAACGGGTCTTGCAGTATAATGGCAGTACAAGGGGGGTGCAGATGGCTGTACGGTGCATTTTAAAAGTGGCCTGAGCTTTGCAGTATACAACTATACGACCAGATTCTCTGGATGGCAGCAGTACGAAAACAAACGCAGTCTAGAGGTAGATGTCGATGAGCGAGAGGATGTCTTGGGAGTGTCTACTATAGAATACCAAGCACCCTTTGCAAGTATGGTAGAATTAGAGGCAGCTAGCGTAACGACTAGAGAGCGCTCACCTAGGTCTTCCTTACCTTTCGAAGATCCAAGACTTCCTCTATGGAAGGCCGAAACTCGGTCTTTTAAGGGAATAATGTTTCGTTACAGTTAATCACTTGCGACAGCCATTGAGACAGCCAAAGCCGCCTAAAATGGGGATCTTTTCGTCGATGGAGCTCTACAATTTGCCATCTTCTGTGACGGATCCAGCGAGAACACTCGCTTTGCACAGTTCCGCGGGGACATAGGAGGATATAGAGTAGTCTTTCGGGACCCCTATGAATCCAGCGCTGGAAACAAATCAAATATAAATAAAGAGAAAACCTGGGCACACCCATACCTTTCCTCAGCGCACCTATATATCCACCGATGGCAGCTGTTATATATTACGGCCGTTTTTGCGGGTAATTTCGAGATTTGTTGTGTCTCTGCCATCGATGCGAGCGAAACCTTTAACCTCACCAAACGTCCCCTAGAGTGCGCTGGTGATGATTTTATGGCGTTCAGCTCCCGCCTACCAAGCGCGCAGTATAAACCTTCAAATCCAACTTTCCCGTTACCTTTTTACCTAATGATCCTTTTCGTTAATGACAATGGGCTTTCGTTTTTATTAATACCCATTTTGTCCTATCCCTAGGCTAATTATTTGGCACTCTGGCTGCGTAATATCTTCTTGTTCCTGTGCTCTTGGTGTTGTGAAGTGGTGATGCGACGTGTAGGCAGCCAAAGTTTTACGAAATGGAGTGCAATGTGACGCGTATTGAAAGGGCGAAATTTTACGGCTAAAAGCGGGTTCTTGGATGACGGGTGTCATTGCTTGTCACAAGCTGCCAGGGACCCTAACCCTTTGAAACTATAGCGCGGAGGAAAGGTATGAGTGTGCCTAGGTTTTCTCCAAATAAATATGAATCTGTATTTATTTCAGTGGGTTAAATACCCGTTTGAATTTATTTGGATTTGATTTATCCTTATTTATTTGATGATTTGCTAAGACATGTGGGGTCTATCGCCAACCTTAACCCCGACTCCGATACCGCCAGCTTCCAGGTAAAATGTTACCAAAAAATGTTCTGCCGGTGTGCTAAGAAAGCGGTCAAATAGACCAAATCAAATATCGATCCATATTTATTTGGGCAAATCAAATATGAACCTATATTTATTTATTTATATTTGGTTATTTACTTGTATTTGGCTTGGCGATTTGATTTGTTTCCCGCGCTATATGAATCCGTGAATTATGATAGTATAGACCTTGCTCCCAACTGCCTCGAAGCTAAATTCTTTACCAAAAAGAAAGAGGACGGCTGGGGCGTGGAAGACTTTGTTATTTTGAACTGGTTAAACCGCAAGGTCTATAGTGCCGATCATGCAGAAATCAGCGCTCTTTCGCAGGGCCTCGAGGAGGTAATCAAACGTGTCGACCATTTTGGTCCTCCATCATCCACGGTCAAGATTTTCTCGGATTCGGTGACTTGCCAAAGGCGTATCAATAAGGGAATACTTGTTGGTGACGACTTCGTGTCGGGCGGTAACAACCTTATGTTAGATGGCAGCAATGTCACGTCGGATGGAAAGCGCAAAAGGACGGAGGCGTCTTTTCATGACAAGCACACAAACCCCACTGTCCGCGCAATTGTGTGGCAGTCACATTATCTATTCGGCCGCGGCTGCACCATAGAGATACACTATTTGCCTCGCAACCTCACTTTCGCCGCATTTCTCGCAGATCATGTCGCTGGCTCGTGGCGGCTGAAAGCAGCCGTGTTCAGCCAGTCGAATCTAGCACGCGAAGAAAGGGACGGGGTCATGGACAGAGACTTACTCGGGGGGCAGTGTCACTTTTATCCGCGGGCAGTGTACACTGCCCGCGTAGTATTCCCTCCTTTGATATCCCTACGCGGGCAGTGTTATAGTTATTACTGACCGTACTAATTAACTACTATAACTCTACTAAAACTATTCGTATGAATACGATTTTAACGCTAGTATGCTTCTCAATGTAGCGATTCGTTCGCTAACCTTTTCTCCATTCTCCAGCATGGCGGCGATCAAAATCAGCAGCGATTCCAGTTCGCATGACACTACCAGCGACGACGAGCTTGCTACTATCATTTATACCTAAAACCCTCAAGAAAGAAGCAAGGAAAGTAAGAGAGAACTGCTTTAGTTAGGTAGATGGATGGATGAATAGTATTACTACAGTATTTAAATCGCCAAGCGGTAAGAACTTCCCTCCGCGCCAGCGCCCATTATGCGTACTTTGCACTTTTCAGCTACCTACCTCTATTATACCTGAGCGACCTTAATACTAAGTATCTATTACTAGATATTGCTAGAATGTTGAAAAATATAGGGAGTATTATAGCGTTAGAGATTACTGCGACACTGCCCGCGTAGTAATCCCTACCCTGATATCCCTACGGGGGCAGTGACACTGCCCCCGGATAAAAGTGACACTGCCCCCCGAGTAAGTCTCTATGGACAAACTGAGCGAGGAGGTCAACGAGATAGTGCGTAGAAGATCTACGGCTCCACCCAATCCTCGGCCTCCCAAGAAGAGGAAGGTGAACAGACCATCCTCGAAGAATAAGCGCCTTTGGAACAACAAGCGCACCCAGTAGAGGTTTAAGGCCAGCAAGAAGTCCCGCTCGGCTAACAACCTTAACGCCCGGTCCTTTCCTTTTCGCCCCTCACCATCACCATACCGCCAAGCCTCTTCTTCTCAATGGGTTCCAAGCAACCCATTTCCGCCTGCCCCGGCTCCCTCGGCCAGCGAGCCTTCATTCCCCCAAGACCACAGCCGCCCATATGAGGCCCGCCTGCCTACGTTGGATACGTTTCCAACGTGGTTCTTTCGAGATCCTACACCGCCTCGCAAGGTACGTGCTCCGACGCCCGGACGCTGTTGGGAGATAGAGGACGAGGATGAAATTGAGGTTGGCATTGTTCGTAATGAGGGGGGTGAGCCTGGTGAGATGGATGGTGGGGGACAGGTCGGAGGGGGGGAGAAGAAAGAGGATGAGCAGGATGGTAGGAAGAAGGACCAGGAGGAGAGTTAAGAGTAGTTGCATTACAGTCCTCGGTCGTCGTTTCTGTTGCTCCTTCAAGCCATAAAGCGGCCATCTTTCGGGACGTGAACAAGAAGATGGAGTAACGGCGTTTCTCCTCTTTCTTTCTGATGGATATACCCACAATCAGGTGGCTTCTCCAAAATTTCTGTTGCTGTATGTTTTATTATCTTGTACTGTTCATAGGTGTACTATATCAGTCTCATTTGAAGCTCGAGCGAAACAAGCTTAGAGGTACCTTCATTATTGCCTTATAAACTCATTGCTCCAACAACCATCAATACTGCTAAAGATCCCCATCTAAGGTACTCTTTAACTTATGAACCCATCAAAGGATCAACCCAACAAACCCACCAACCCCATCACCCCACCAGCAACTCCAAGCATCCCAATCCCAGGCCTCAACCTAGCACCATCACTCTTCTTCCCACTAGCCGCCCCTCCCGCCGCAATAGCACCACCACCTCCCCTCGCCCCACTACTTCCCCCGTTACTCCCATCACCGCCACTACTCGTACCCGTGTGGCTGCTAGTACTCATACTGTGCGCCCTGCCATGTCCCCCGTGGCCACCGTGACCGCCGTGGTGTTGTGTATTCTCGTTTTGGTCTTCATCGTCGTCGAAATCGGTCATGTTGACGTCGTCGTCGATGATGGCTGCGTTGTTGTTGGCAGGAGGAGGACTTGGTGGAGGAGGAGAAGGTGGTGGTGATGGCTCGACGCGGGCCATCGAGGGTAAATCAGGCGAGTTTGGACTGGTCTGGAGAGATGAAGCGGATTCGGATGTGGTGTGATTTAGTGTCGAGATGGCGACTGTCGCTGAAGAGCTGCGGGCTTGGGGGTTGATTACGGATGCGGTTGATAGACCTAGGAGGCTGAGTGTGACGAGATGGGTGAGACGCATGTTGGATGATTTGAGGGTTGCCGTTTGCAGGTGTTGATGGTGGTTTGCCTATCGGAGTGGTAGTAGATGTGGACTTCTTTGGCCCGGAATCCGATTGGCTTCTGAGGTCTAAGACAATAAATAGGTGTTGTAGCACGTTGGATAACTCAACAGGCCGGTGCGTCAATGTTATGGACCTCGAAGTAGAGCATGTAGTCGTTTTATGCTCATGGCAGTAACCCTGACTCGAGTGTCGCCAACGGAAGCAGCTATGTATGTAGTCAACCACCGCGATGGAGGAAACTCCGGCGGTAAAGAAGACCGAGAGAGTTTCCAGGGGTCTGGAGCAGCTAAGCCTCCTTCCCGGTGGACATCGTCTGGAAAGAAGTCTAGGCCTGACACGTATTGCACCTTGATACGACTCGGGAGGGCGGGATCGACACGCAGGTACACTAAGATGTGGAGTCACTTGGCTGCACTAAGAAGTTTAAAACAATGGTGGTATTTCCGATCTTCCGCCTCAGCCTCATTTAACCTTATCCAAGCCTATCCGACTCTCTATTCCCTCATACATGCTAACTATTTAGCTGCAGACCCAGGCTTGTTGTCTGCCAACAACGGTGACAGTGTCAAAACAAAATTGCCATGGCAGCTACTAGTACTCCGGCCATTCCCCAAACACCACCAAGCAACGGCACAGCACATCCCGCACTGCTCTCCAGCTCCTTGAGCCTGTACTCATACACCTTGCATCTATGCTTGACATATCCGTCTTCTTCCCCATAGTCTCCGTGGCACGTAACGGTGGTGAATACCGAGGGTTTGGCAGGCGTGGTGACGGCTGGAGCAGATGTGATGAGCTCAGGATTGCGTCGGTGAATGGAATCGGTCGGAGCGGTGTGCGTGCAATTGCTTGCGGTGGTGATGAAGGTCTTAAGGAGATTGTTCGAGGTCGTAGGAGCAGCCGTTATGCTGGGGCTGGGAGTGGCCATGATAACTTCTGCGGCGGCTAGAAGAACCGCAACAGGAAGAGAAGCGACGAGACGCATTGTGTAAAATAACGGTAGGCCGTAGCAGCCGGTGGTAGCAAGGTGTTGACGATGTAGGGTGCGAGAAGGAGTAGGGGTAGGAGAAAAGAGCGAAGATATAAGCCATGGAACGAGAGGATCCGAGAGTGCAACAGTTGATGGCCCAAGCATAACCGGGACACAATGGGCGTTGGTGCTCTCAGTGTAAACGAGCGTAACCGTCCCATTGATGCAAACGCAACGGACCCATGCACCCTTCATGAAACACCAGGCTCACATCACCAAGCACCCATCCGCAAGATGGTCATCATCGTCCTGGCCCCGACACGACCATATCCTCAGCCATGTGGTGGTGAAGGTATTGGGAGACATGTTGCTGGGGCTCGCAGTGATGAAAACGGCTGAGGTGTTAGCAGAGGCCGCTCTGGTCGACTCGGACTGGTGAGCCGTGCTTGAAACGCCGGTGCTTCGAGCCATGGTGGTAAGGGGAGTGACGTTGGTGATGGGATGCCGAGCGGGATCGAACTGGGGGTTGGCCTATTATGTCCTCTTGACAGCGCTTGCCGTCTTTGTTCTGAGGCGGGGGTCTAGACAATAGTAGGGGGCGGGGAATCTCGCCTGGGCTGGACAAAGAAACTCGACGCTCTATGCTAGGACCTGGTTACGCACCGGGACAAAGTCGAGAGAAACATCATCGCAGCATATTGCACACGACAGGAAGGAAACCAGAAGAGGATGTAACTGCGCACTCCGCCGGGACTAACTGGTTGAGCAACAGATCTCAATCACGACTGTGGGGGCTAGGAAAGAGATGACTCAGATGAGGGCAATGGTGACGGCCACCGGAGCGTCAATGTATCTGGAATTCGGTTTTGACCCATGGCGGGTTGAAGTTGTCCCAATGTGTTCGCTGGTACTTGGATCAAGTCTCGAAGAAAATGGCATGTCGTTGAAAGTGGGTGCGCCGTCATGGTGGGGGAGACAAACAACGGAGCTTGGTTCGGGCCGGCAACGGGCTGCTACTGTCTAACATTTGTTGCGGTGAATTGTAGGCTTATCTGTTAAGGACCCTTGTCAGCGTTACGTAAGCAGCCAACGGACGTCCAACGTCATGCATCGCCTTGTCCTCAATCTTGACACCAACGCTCGTCGATATCACCACAGAACGACACGCGCTCGCGCATTCCCTATGTTGAGTACCCTCTCCGATTGGTATCACACCATGTCCAACCCTTGCGACGGGCGCGATGCCCCTACGTGCGACCATGAGGCTGCTTGGTGGCCATCACCGTTCCGAGGATCCAGAGTTGATTGTCGTCCATGATACCGGTCGTCGAGAGGCCTGGGATTGGCAGGATTGCCTGGAACCTGTCGAGCGGTTGTATAACCAAGCCGAACACCTCACGGTCTAATACATTACACCTTTTGAATTCCTCTTACAGGCATCCATATGTCTTTATTACACCTTATGGTCAAACTTCAACCCATTTCCTGGGTCAAACAATGCCTAACTCATGCCGATGTGCTTCCAAATTATCACGAGGCATACTGAATCGGGAGCAGCTTGCCTTTTGTCAATGTACACTACCTTGGGGTTGAAGTTACAGTGAATGAAGTGTGCGATGGCAGTTTGAAGGGGGCACCATACCGTGTTTGGGATGTCAGAGTGGTGATCAAGAGAAAGATAGAAGTCGGGATTGCAAACCTTCAATGGATGGATCACGCCCCTAGAGATGCGGATTGAACACTCCATCTCAGACGGATCGTCACGTGCAGTGCCCTGTTGGAGAGTCGATGGTCTGGGACTGAAGAAGGAAGGCACGCAGCCCGCCAAGCTCGTCACTCGATACCCACCGACCGACACATCGGATCGAAGATGGAAGGAGTGAATTGGCCACTGGCCAAGTTGCCAACCAGACTTGACGAGGTCTCTTCGCCTTCACTTCACTTGTCGTAGAGGTACTCCTTCACTCAAACCTGAAACCTCTTCACTCCTCAACCGGACAAGACCCTTCACCATCTTTTGAGCTCTCTAATGTGCTTTGGTCGCTGATCTACTCCCGGAATCTTTTGAGCTCTCGATCTTTCCCTCCTAGCATTGCACCCTCTTTCGCCTTCGGTCGCGCAACGTATTTTTACCATTTACGCCTCGCTTTCGTTCTCGAGTCTCGATCCCTCCTTGCTGTCGACAGATTGCCACCAGGACCACATCCTTAACAACCATCAGATTCCGTCAGGATGCGGCTCAAAGCCTTCGTGCTCGCTGCTTTGGCGTCAGTCGTCAGCGCGGCCTACTGGATGGAGGAGATCCAGCACCAGGGCGTCGCCTCGTTCAACCCCGACAAATCCTACCAGATCTTCCGCAATGTCAAGGACTATGGCGCCAAGGGAGACGGAGTCACTGACGACACCGTCGCCATCAACAATGCCATCAGCTCCGGCAACCGTTGCGGCGGCGGTCCCTTCTGCAACGGAACCACCACTACCCCTGCTGTCGTCTACTTTCCTGCCGGTACCTACCTCGTCACTACCAACATCATCAACTATTACTACACCCAGATCATTGGCGATCCCACCACCATGCCTGTCATCAAGGGCAGCCCCAACTTCAAGTCCTACGGCGGCATTGGCTTGATCGACTCGGATCCGTACCTGAACAGCGGCAGTGAGTCTCCCTACGCTACCATCTGTCCCTTGTGTTTCCCCCTACTGACAGCGTCTGCACAGCCCTTCAGTTCAGAGCCACCAATGTCTTCTTCCGTCAAATTCGCAACCTTGTCTTCGACACAACCGATGTCCCGGGTACTGTTGCTGGCCTCCATTGGCCCTCATCTCAAGCTACCTCGATCCAGAACTGCGTCTTCAAGCTATCCTCCCGACCCGAGGATGATCACACCGGCATCTTCATAGAGGAAGGGAGCGGTGGCATGTTGGCGGACCTGGTCTTCTACGGCGGCAAGCAGGGTGCACAGTTCGGCAATCAGCAGTACACAATGCGCAACCTCACCTTCTACGGCTCCAAGACAGCGATCATGCAGCTGTGGAATTGGGGTTGGACGTACAAGTCCCTCAACATCTATGATTGCGACGTCGGCATCAACATGTCCAGCAACGCCGTTGGCTCTGTCACCCTTCTCGACAGCAGGTTCATTAACGTCAATACGGCCATGACTACCTTCCGTGGGGACATCAGCGTGAACTCTACAGGCTCGCTTGTGATCGAAAATGTGGACTACGTCAACGTTCCCATCGTTCTGCAGGGTCCGAATGGCCCTCTGCTACGGGGCAATCCTTCGGGACTGGTTCATGACGCAGGTTACGCAAGGGTAGGTTGTCAATCAACCACAAGATCCATTGAGCAAGAAGTGCTAACATTGTGATTTTCAGGGTAACACGTACACCCCTAATGGACCACGCGAGTACGAGGACCGCGATCAGGCTTACTTCCCTCAACCCACGACTCTCAAGCAAGACGGCAAATTCTACGAACGCTCCAAGCCTCAATACGAAACTTACGCGACCTGGGCCTTCCTCTCCGCCCGATCCTACGGTGCTGTTGGAGATGGAGTCACCGACGATACCGCAGCCCTGAACCACCTCTTCCAGACTGCTGCTCTTACATCGGGATCGGTAGCGTACCTCGACGCGGGATACTACAAGGTCACCGACACTGTTCACATTCCGGGAGGAGTTCGAGCTGTGGGAGAAGCTATGGCGGCGGTTATCCTTGGTGCGGGACCCAAGTTCTCGGACATCAACGACCCACAGCCTGTTCTTCAGATCGGAAATGTGGGAGAGGCCGGCTACGTTGAACTCAGCGACATCATTGTGTCTACCCAGGGAGGAACAGCAGGTGCTATCTTGATCCAGTACAACCTCAATCCTCCAGCTGGTTCAAGCTCCACCCTCGCCGAAATGCCACCTTCTGGTCTGTGGGACGTCCACACACGCATCGGTGGCTTTGCAGGATCTAACCTGCAACTCACTGACTGCATCAAGACTCCCGACGCCGTTGTCCACGCTGATGCAAAGTGCACCGCAGCATGGTTGAGCTTCCACGTCACCAAGAAGGCTGGGAATCTCTACATAGAGAACAACTGGTTCTGGGTTGCCGACCACGACATCGAGGACTTCAACAACACCCAGATCAGCATCTTTGCTGGACGTGGTGTCTTGATTGAAGGCAAGCGGGTCTGGCTTGTAGGCACCGCCAGTGAACATCACACACTCTACCAGTACCAGTTACTCAATGCGACCGACGTCTTCATGGGCCAAGCACAGACCGAGACGCCTTACTACCAGCCCAACCCGCCCGCTCCTTTCCCTTTCACCAGGATCGACACCACTCTTGGAGATCCCGATTTCCACACCGACTGCCAAAGCGTCCAGTACGGCACCAACACGACGGTCAACTCCGATGGTTCTCTCACCCTGGGAGGTAACCCAACATGTGAAATGGCATGGGGTCTCCGCATCCTTGGTTCACAAAACGTGGTCATCTTCGGCGCGGGCCTCTACAGCTTCTTCAACAACTACAACGTCAACTGCAGCACTCTTCGCTCCGGTGAAAACTGCCAGGCAAGAATCTTCTGGGCTGGACCCATAAACCTTGGCTCTGGCTTCAGTACCAGCATCCCTCCCAGAGATACAGGAGCAGGAAACCCCGGAAAGTTTGTAATGAGCAGCAGGCCGCCATCCCATCAGAACAAGACCAGCGGGTCCAGTGAAGAGGTTGCGGACCCGTGGGTCCAGGTCTACAATCTGAACACGGTCGGTAGTGTCAGCATGATAACGAGAGACGGCAAGGATTTGGCGGGTTGGAGCCAGAATCTGGCGACATTTGCGAACACTCTTGCCTTGTTTCACTATTAGGGGTGAGCTTGGCGGGAGTTGTTTGGCAAGGAAGGGAATGAAGGGAAGGACATCTGGCTAGGACGATGGACAGTATCAAGGCATCTGGATTCGATCTTTGGAGTCGTGCTGGGACACGGACATTGTAGATCGTCTTTAAACTGTACTTATACTACCTTCCGCACATAGCTTCTTGCACTGTTTTGGTACTTTTAAAACATTATTCTACTTTCAGGCGGGAGGTTGTGATGTGATATACACAGGTGAGCTCTCTTCTGATCCCATTGACATTGACAAGACTGAGAATGATAGGGCGTTCGAAGTGTCAAACGCGGTAACGCCAAAAGCAGCTGATCTGCACGACTTTGGATACGACCATGACACCCAAAGCAACTGGGCGAGAGCTCGTCAGAAGAAACCGAACACCTCACGGCCTAATACATAACACCTTCGGGATACTCTTGCACGCATTTCTGTTTCTTTATCACACCATATCGCAATCTTGCAACTGCCTTTCTTAACTAAAGCAAGCGGTATTGGACTGTCCATGTTCGGTTTCTTCTTACGACCACTCGGCCGTGGAACTGACCGTCTTGCACGTTGATCGTCATTTTGGTCACTCGTCCGTTTCCAGGTAATCTCCCTTCCAAACTTCCGGTCGACTCTTTGCCTCCCCATTCCCAACTTCTGTCCCACAGCCATCATTACCTTCACGGCCATGGGAACACACTTCAACTCCCAAAGAAGCTAGGCCGTCAAGATCAACGCCCGGATGGCGCAATTCCTCTGCTCTCTCGCGTACCACCAAGTCCACTAGCATGTCTCACAAGACCACAGGAAACCACAGTGCGGCTAGACGATACACAGATTGCATCAGCCATCAGCCAATACTTCATCCTGCCGAGTTCCACCAAATTGCAACGCAGTTCCACGAACTAGGTATTCGGTGCATACGAAAACACGCTTTGCCAGCACGCTCTGTGCTCTGAAGTGCGATTGTGAGTGACTGAACGGTCCCCAAGATCTATCCTCACTTGTCTACAGTCAATAGGCTACACTCGCCAGGGAGTGATGGTGGCATGGAAGCCCCGGCAATGATTCTGTTGATCAACATCGACCGACTTCTTTGACACCTCGTGGCCTAGTGTTGTGGCCGTAGTGGCGTGCACTAGACCGTTGACTGGACTGGGACTGGGATTCCCTCTCTTACGGCTGGGTGGAACGAAATCTCATCATATCTGAACATCCACTCTGCAGTACGCTATCCGATCCTAACCAAGGGACCGGAGTTTGTGTCTTGATGAAGCTTCTAACTGGCGCAACAGAACGTGTTCCCCTTCGATGCTCAAAGGTTGGCTGGTCAGTTGTGATAGAAGACCAACATGCAAGGTGGGAGTGGTTTCTCATGCCACAGATATGGCTAGAATGCCTCAATGAGTATCACAGCTCGACAGTCGGTAGCCGACGCCCAGGCCGCACATCCACACACAGAACCGCCACGAACTGCTGAGTTGAGAGCCATCCACACGAAAGCAGGCGTGTGTTGAGCGGATCACTGGTTCTCGGGTGCCCTACGGGCGCGGGTACCCTCCGTTTAGCTTACCCCGGGGTATCTCACAAGGAGCCTCTACGGGCGGGCTATCGACGGGTACTACGGCTTGGAGATGTTCATGTTTGCTTTGCTCGTGGATTTTTGGGCGTTCTCCTCATTCGAACGCTTTATCTAGCTGTTGACTCCGAGAGCAAGCGCCTTAAGCGAACGCTTCGTGGTAGTATCGGTAGGAATGCCTGCTAATGTACTGCTCATGTTAGGGAAAGCTCATTAGGGCTCCATGAGCAACACACCGAAGTACGCTATCATATCTCCGTTCCGACACACAAACGCTGTCGGCCTCCCCTCTTCCGATTACTGTGTCACGCAACGAGCAGATTCGGCTAGCCTACACCACAACTAGCCTTGTTAGGGGAGTGCAGGGCACATTTCCCATTTCCCCATCTCAGAACAGGACAGTCAGGGAGAATGCAGGGCGACGACGCCCTGTTCAGAGTGTGCCATGCCTCCCTCCTTCTGTCACTTGTATGAAGGTTCTGGATGCTGGAACACAGGCTCCAGACAGTAGAGGATTGTACGACGGTGACACAGCGGATTTGGGGTGACGCAAATAGCAAAGGAAATGATTGACGGGTCGAACCAGAAGCAAGAGGGAGCGGGGCTGGATGTGAAGACTGGGAGGGAAGTGAACGAGTGGTTGAACATGCACGACCAGAGAAATCTGGTAGACGGGACAGGGTGGAAGCAGAGGGAACTGACACTGTACATGTACACAGGCAACTGAACGGCTAAGACGGGCAAAAACATGGACACGCTCAAGACGGAAAGGGAAGCGGCAGGCATGGGGGTAGAGAGGGTGACCATCATTCGGTCTGGGGCTCTGTTCTGGGCAGGGCACTCATGGCAAGTAAGAGCATGCAGGAGTGTCAAGGATGACTGTCCCTGGCATTGGCAGGAATCCTTGAATGGTCTCCGTCCACTCACTCGTCTTGTGGTAGTTATCCCTCCTTTGAACTCCTCCATCCCCTCCCCAATTCCATCCAACCACATCCGTACAACAACCTGACTTGACGATTCTACCGCATACAGACTCGCCGATAACTCACAACTCACAACTCACTTTGGATTTTACGACTCCTGTCAACCAATTCATCACCACTAGAGCGGCGACCCCCACGGGCGCGCTGGCCAGAAACTCGCATTGATATCTACTGTCAGAAGATGCTATCATGAGCGCGTCACAAGTCATCTCTTCGTCTTCGACTCAATCTGAACTCTTCAACTTCGACCATCCCCTCAGTCCTGAAAGCGTCAGCGGTCATTCGTCTGACTCTGATAGCTCTTCAGGATCAGACAACAGCTCCTCATCGCATTCACATTCGCATCACTCCCCGATCTCAACTGCTAGCCATCACAGCCAGAATCATCATAATGTCGCGTATCCGTCGGCGGAACAGCAGCAGCAAGGACAGCCGGTTACCAGGGCGACTCCTACCAACAACACCTTGCCTGAGAGGCCACTGGTACCGACCTGCCCGGCTGATTGGGAGGCGAAGAAGGATATCATCTACGATCTGTATATGAATAAGAACTTTATACTGAACGATGTGGTCGAGATCATGCTGTCGACTCATCGGTTCAAGGCCACGTATGCTTCTATCGTGCCGGGTGTTTGGAAGACTCTTGACTAACTTCACTTCCGGATCAGGGCAAGAATGTACAAAGGCCAATTCGCCAAATGGCGATGGGCAAAGTACAACAAGTCGGGCAACACGAACGCGACGAAGCCGACCAAGTCTCGATCCATGCGAAGAAAAGGAGTAACCTCGTCGGGCTCAGGAAGCCATAGCAGCCACGGCCACGTTTCAAAGCCAGGATGCCAGTCGAACTTCATCTCGCAACCAGCCCAGATGATACGTCTCTACTTCCAGAGCGAGCCAACCTACCTCGTCGAGTCGACTCTACTGGCTTACGCCTCTTACATTGCCCGCTGGGCCGACCCCGAAAGAGAGACTCCGTGGAAGATGAACGGTCCAAGACCGCGGTTACATATCGCTAGCGGCGAAATCAACGCCGATGACCACGCCACCATGTCGTCGAACTCGATCCTGCAGAACATTGCTCTAGCGATCCGCCATCTCCGATGCAACAATCCCCAAGGAACAACCAAAGGCGGCGCCCTCCTGCGGTACGCCTTTCTCCAGATCGAAGAAGCCATTACCTCTGCCGACGAAGGCGACATTCAAGCAATCTGGGACTGCTGTCTCGCCGTCCCCCAACTCCTCATCCTCCACAACGCCTCCTCCACCCCCTCTCCCACCCACCCCAGCACCAAACCACCTCAGCCACAACCCCACCAACCCCCCTACGACATCCTCCCCATCTACATCCGCTTCCTCCACCACCTCACCACCCTCAAATACGCCCAAACAGGCTGCACCTCCCACCCCCTACACCAAATCTCTTCCTCGCTGCATCACCTCGTCACCACATCCGATTTTCCTTCCCTGCACCTCTTCATCACCCGCGCCTGGAAGTTGTGGATAAACACCTGTCGCCAACTGCGAGGAGAGACGGACCATGTGACTATCCACCTCAAGAGGGGCTACGTGATCCTCATGGACCCTGAACATGCCATCGTCAAGAACTTGGTGAGCGACTTTGGAGGATTGGTGAGGAGGGAGATGGAGCGGTGGGGGGAGGGGAAGACGACCGAGCGGATATTAGAGCTGGAGGGACTTTTGGGGAGGATGTATTTGCCGCTTTTTGATGCTGGTGTTGTTGTTGGTCCTGGGGCTGGGGCGGGGAGTGGGACAGGGACAGGAACAGGGGCTGGGCAAAGGGCGAGAGGAATGTTGGGGGGGTTGGTGGAACGGTTGGAGGAGAAATATCGGGTTAGGAATCGGGGGGTAATGGGAGCCGGAGTGGGAAGTATTGTCAGCATCGGCAGCGTCAACAGCAACGGTATCAACAACGTAACCAGCGCACCCAGACCGCACGCTCTCGCCCCAGGACCAGGACAAGGACAACCCCAAGGACCCCCAATCCCCATGCAAAACTGGGATTACCTGGACCGCTACCTCTTCTTCTCGGCGCACCACTTCCTCGCCTCCATCGCCGATCACGAAGGGGACGTTTCCACCGCCGTCGCATTACGGAGAAAGATCCTGCTTATGAACGGCGGCGGGATACCGGGCGTGCATACAACAACCTCTACCATTCCTGGACTCGGCATGGGCATGGGCATGGCTGGTATGGGAATGGGAATGGGTGTGGGCATCGGCATGGGAGTGGGTGGAATGACGGTAGCAGCAGGACTAGGAACAACAGGAAGAGGTGGAAAGGATCAGTTCTGGGTGCAAACAGCCCGCAAAATCGAGGCGTATTTGAGGGGGGTGCAGAGGTGGGAGGAGGCGGAGGAGGTTAGGGGGTTGTTGAGGGATAGGGAACGGGAGGTGGAGAGGGAGATGGAGAGGGGAATTGGATTGGAACAGGGGCGGGATTTGGGGCGGGATTTGGGGCGGGATTTGGGGATGCAAGTGATGGCTAGGAGTGGGAGTGGGAGTGGGAATGGGAATGGGAGTGCGGTTGCGGTACCTCTACTAACTACCCCTGGCCTGAACATGGGAGGAGGGAGGAGTATGAGTGTGCCTGCTGTGCCCTTTGTGCCTTATGGAGTGAGGAGTTTGGGGACTGCACATGGTGGCCGTCGGTCGTATGTCCCTGTTGAGCCCGGGATTAATACTGGTTTTGATCGACTCCCGCCGATTCCGATACCTCGTTCTGTCCCGGTTCAACAAGATATCCATGGCGGCAACAGAGGAGGGTTTGTGGTCGATGAGAGTCTGGCAGCAGACGAAGGGTTCGACGAATTCCATCAGTTCGAGAGGGCAGCATTGGACCTGAATAGTGCCAGTGGAAGTAGCAGTGGGAACAGCAGTGCTGGTGGAAGCGGCGGCGGCGGTTCTGACTTTCACCATAGAAGGAATGATGACAGGTATGAGGATCGTTGGGGCAGGTGGCATGAGGTTATGGCTTTGTGAGCTTGGAAGCTTGCAAGAAGGAAGTGGGCGATGGTGATAATGAGTGTGAGGGAAGGGATGCCCTGGCAACATCTGGACTCAAGGAGGAAGGAACACCGTGGTAAAGTTGTCGCACGGTTTACATGGAAGGATTATGGACTGACTGGTTTGCATTTGTTTTCAGGATCAATCTTAGCTCATCGTTCGGACTTACTTCTTGTTGTCATATTACACCATCTCTACACCATGTACTTTGCCTTATCCTTTAGCTTTCTTTTTTTCTTCTTGCTTCGGCGATACCTCTAGGCTAGGGTCTAGGCGCAATGGATTGCTTTCTGAACAAAAGTTGTTGAAGAGAGGCGCTTGCTTTTTGATGCCTTGGTGTTTTTGTTGCGTGTAGAAGGTGCACGCACCATAAGCGAAGTCACAGCGTTCCAAGCACATGGTAACACAACATCCCTGTCGTCGCACAAGATCATCAATTCTTGTCTCAGATTTCTCCTCTTTTGGTGTTGTTCTGGACGTTTGCGAGCGTGTGGTGGTCGTTCTCTCGGCCGAAGTGTATGATATCGGTTAGCCGAGAAATGGTTGACCTATGAATGACAGGGCTGAGTGATGGACGGTGGTGGGAGAGTTGAAGAGTTTCAGCTTAAGGAGGAAGGAAAGGGAGCGAGAGATGGTACCCTAACCCGCTAATGCTCGAGTAGGGGGTTCAAGTGCTGCGATTTGATGACCGTGGATTTTGGTATCGAGGAACGGTACTGCTATGATGTTCCTCGTAGAATTTGGAAGAGAGAGAACTGAGAAGGATTACGAAATGCGTCATGGACCAATCGAATACGTGCCAGTCCAAGATATTGCGCGAAACCGCGAAGACAGGACGGGAAAGGTTGTGGTGATGATGGGCGTTGATGGTCCGGTGTGGAAATTGCTGTGGCACTAACAGTCGCTAACAGACGATGAGGAGAGGGAAGCGACACTCCACTGAGGCATCAGAGGCAATGCCCAAATACCACTCACAAGGGTTCATCATGGATGGACCAACTCAAATGAATCCTTTTGGCAAGTTATCAATGCAAAGACGACAAGTAACGCTTCCGCCCGAGGTGTTGTGCTCCGGAAGAGTAATGATGACGTTCAGACTCGGTGGGGTGCCATCTCCATCTGCACCACTTATACGCTCCCAATTCGGACAAACACCACTTCCCGTGACCTAAAGTCGAAAATGTGATCAATATCTGCTCACAAACTCCCCTACCCAAAGAAGAAGAATGTTCTGGCCACGATACGTATCGAACAAGAGAGGGGCAGTAAAGTTTCAATTGATCAATCATGTTCCGCGCTTTTGGACACATGACGTTACGACCCTTTGACATCACCAGCTCCATTCGTGAGGGGAGTTTCCCGTAAATATATCTCAATCTCAACCGTGCTGCTTCTCATCCTCTCAGCCAGAGACACCGAAGAGACAAAGAGAAGAGCTCTTGAAGACCAGAACATAAACAAGCAAACCACCATAAGTCTATTAGAAACAAGAACACCACCCAAAATGTCTTCCTCCGAAAACAAAAACCAGCAGCAGGATCTCAACGCCCTCGCCGAGGAGGCCGAGCGCGACCTCAACACCTGGTATGCCAAGACGGGCCACCGACGCGCCGGTATCGAGGAAGAGGCACCCGGCATCAACGAATTAGAGGCGTCCAGGAAGTTTCCGGGAACCGAGATCCGGTACGGCGAGGACCTGTGCACCAACAAGTCGTGGGACAAGAAGATTCCGGAGCCGGAGGGCGGGGACAGGGATGATAAGGGGCAGTAAGTCTTGTCATTTTGTTGTTCTAATCCTTTGTGGTCCATGTCAGCACAGCAAAGCAAAGCAATGAAAAGAAAAGCAAATTTACTGTGTATGCTAACAAGAAATACACCACCACCACCACAGCCTCCTCCACGGCCACGCCTACGAAGGCATCGGCGGCCCCGAAGACAAAACCGCGCACATCTACCAACACTCGCCCGGCCGCATCGACGAGGAAGTCGTCAAAGGATGGGGCCTGGACCCGGTAAAGCTGACCGAAGAAACCTTTGACCCGTCACGGCCGGACCTGTTACCGCCCGACCAGGCGCGCGGGCACGGGTACGATAACACCGAGGGGGGACCGCACAAGTATCAGCAGAGCATATTGGAGAGCGGGAAGAGGGCGGCGGCGGCGAATGTGTTTGGGGAGGATACGGGTTTGGGGCTCCATCATCGAGATCTGCCGACGGGTGCGAGGGGGGGAAACAAGTGGCGGAGGGGATCGAAGTGGGAGGCGAGAGAGGGTGTACCCGACCAGGGGGCGGATATGAATGAAGTGCCGCCGAAGAGTGTGGTTGAGTTCAGTCACAGTCTGCACTAGATGACGGTGGGTGGATGGATGGATGGCTGTGATGGGTGGTGGGTGAGCTTGTATGATAACAGCGGTGGAAATAACTCAACTTACTCATTATGATAGTAGTGTATTGTGGACTGGACAAAAAGGATTCTTGTCTACCTATCTTTCCGGTCTCTTGTGTCTATCCGTCTATGCCTCGTTTGTAAGCTCAACATCTCTACCTACCCATTCGATTGTAATCTTTCAGACATCGGGGCAACACTTCCCGGCCCGTCGTCCTTCGTCCATCCCCTCCTGTTCCACCTCAATGGCTTTCTTCAACCTTCTTCTCACCCTCCGCCGCCGCCACCGTCTTCTGATGCTTCTCCAAACACGCCCTAATAAACCCCACCAACGGCGCCACCCACTCCTTGTTGACGGGGACATAATGTCCTCCCGGATGAACCACGACAACCGGCTCCTCACAAGCCTCAATCAGCCTCCTGCTCCTAGACTCCTCCACCACCGTATCCAAACTCCCCAAGACATGCATCGTAGGCGTCTTCACCTTGGGCTCCCACAACCACCCCAACTCGGGCGGCAGCGCGAAGAACCCACTGTAGCTCACACAGAACTTGAGCGGCTGCCCCTTATTCGCCTCCCTGATCTGCTTCGCCCAGGCCTCGTGCTCGGGCGTGAGGACAGGACGCGGCTGGCCTGGTTCAAGATGCTCCATAGCCGCAGTCAACATAGCAGCCATCGCTCCTCCCTGACTAAACCCAATAACACCATCAATGACCTCGCTCCTCACCACCCCCTTCAATTCCTTCGGTTCCTCAGCCCCTTCCTCAGCCACCATCCCGTCCACGACTTGCTTTCCCTCAAGATTAACCTTCTCCATCGTCTCCGCCAACCGCTCAAACCCCTCGTTAATCAACCTATAATTCCAGGTTGCCTCCTCCCGCCTGAACCAAGCCCAGCTATCCGTCAATTCCTTTTCCTCCCCCGGGCCGGAGTCCGAAGAGGCTTGGTAGCCCGGGATGTCGGAGACGGAAAGCCGGTTGGGGGCGGTGGGGTAGATGAGGGTTGGCACGAGGTTGAGGGGGGCGAGGGCTTTGATGAGGAGTTTTTCTAGGGCGCGGGTTTTGGCGCGGAAGAGAGGGCCTGATTGGGTGTAGCCTGTTTTTGGCGTGTTAGCTTCTGCTTGGGGTCGATGGGGAGGAGGGGGAATATTGGTTTGTGATGGAAGGTGGGTGGACGGGGAATTGATGGTTGGGGTTAAGGATGGTGATGGTTTGTTGGTGGTGATAAGGAAAATGCAATGAGGTGAGCGCGGTGAGTGAGGTGAACCCATTCGGTGAGATGCATTGTGCCGCGGGGCCGGCGCGATGAGGGGCAATTGTCCGTGCAATCGGGAACCGTAAACCTACCATGAAGCATCAATATCCTGACCTCCCTCTTGACCGGCTTCGGTTTCGCATTGGCGGCATTAGGATGGGGAGGTCTGTTTTGCTTCTTGTTGTTTTGCTGCTGCTGCTTTTGCTGGGCGGGCGCATTGGCATTGGGCGCCGGTGTCGATGCCGATGACTCGACGGGTGTTGATTGCGCGCTGTCGGCCATTGTGTGACTGGGAATAAATCGGGATGCCCTGCTGATTGAAAAGGATCGCGAGGTTGGTTCGGTGTATAGAATCCCAAATGATCTGGCGGGAGTGCGGATGAGGATGCGGAACATGTTCAGAGGTGAAAAGGATGAGTCGTGTCCATGTCACTGAGACGGCGGATTTTCGGCTGAGCTCGCTGCGCCCGTTCGGAGCCTGGTGAGATTAGAAATCAGGGGGCAAGATAAGGACAATGCCACCAGCGTCACAAAACAACACATACGAACGTTATAAAGCTGTTGTTTATTCCTCATTTATTTGGTCTTTTCTAGGGTTCATATATTCACCCACCTTCGACTTTAATGCTAACTTACAAACAACCCAAATATTCCCAACTCCCCAGAACAAAAGTATGTAACCTCTGCTAATTCCCAGGTATCCGTGAGATACAAAACGATCTCTCAACATGGGCCGTGAATGGGTCTCATTTCTCTATGCCAGAGAGAACACATCCATATCAATGGGAACATGATGTGAATGCGATTCGACACGCCGAAGCGCGTCTGCTGGCAACTGCTTGGAGTCAAGCATGTGGTATCCCCCGGTGGCGCAATGGACTGTTGGGCGGATGTGGGTGGAATCGCATCTTCGGAACTTGCACGCACTTGCCATGCCATAACCGCGCTTGGACAGATCGGCAAGCTACTGGAGTGGTACGGTGCCCGGTGGGAGGATGCGCTGTCGCTGGGGGAGACGTTCCAGATGTATTCGCGGGATCTGATGGAGATGCTTAGGGGGAAGAAACAGCAGATGGGACAGAGGCAGGTTCACAAGGGCAGGAACAACGACAGGTTCACAAGGGCAGGAACAACGACAGGTGCAAGGCCAAGGGCAAACACTGTCGAAGTGCACAGAGTGGGCGTTGAGACGAGGGCACGAGAATGAACGAAAGTGGTTGACTTGATTGATTGAAGGAAGGAGAAAGAAAGAGGAAAAGGAGAAGGTGGGGAATCCTTCGATATATATATAAGTAGATCCGTGTTTGGATCGATAATTGTTAAGGTATGCACCTTATGCTCAACAAACACAGGGACTAGGACGGGCGCATACGCATGGACCGGGAGGATGGGAGAACCACCAGCAGCATCAACAACACCAACAACACCAACAACACCAACATCTACATCAACAACATCAACATCAACGACAACAGAATTCGGGACCACATCATCGGCCCCAACCGATCTGCTGTGTCGGGTGCACCCGTCGCCCATAATCGCTCCATGTTCCCCCCGCTACTGCTCTCCCCTTCTTCCTCTTCGCACATCGTTGTTGTTGTTGTTGTCGTCGTTCGAATCGCAAATGGGCGCATGTCACGGCCGTCTTGAACGCAATATCCGACATCCGACACACACAAGTCACTTCATTCCGGCTTGTTTCTCCCATTATAATACACTGGCGCCAGTTCCTGCTGATGAAGATAACGGTCCATTGGGGGGTCCATTGGGGGGTAATCGGGGTTCTCGATAGGTCTAGGGTCTGCCAAAAGCTGTCTTGTTCGTGTCGTCTATTGCATCATCGCACCATCGCCTCTTTCTTTCTTTCTTTCGAAGGATCGCTTAGTGGGCGGGCTTGTTCTTGGCGTAGATGTTGCGGGGGTCGTTCTTCCACTCATCGGCTGTTTGTTTGTTGGGTCAGTCGGGGGGTCCCATCGGGGAGGACGGAGATAGCCTATGGGACATATAGAGAAGGTCGCGACGTACACTGCATGAGAGCGCCCTGGAGAGAGTTGATACCGTAGGCGATGACCAAACCTGCGCCGTGTCAGTTTTTGCTCCTCCCAAGATCTATCCTTGTCGCAGTGTATGTATCATCATGGTCGGACATGTCGTCGGTGCGTTCGGCGATCGGACCGGGGGATATCAACGGTCGCGGGGGAGCATACCGGCAGCGAAGAAGGGAGCCATCGGCCCCACTGTTTACAGAGGCATTAGCAGACATTCTTTGAGATGCAGAAGGGATCCTGGGACGGCAACATACAAACGGGGGCGGGGAACTTCTTGAGGGGGGTGACGCCGAACCAAGACATGTTGACGGTATTTGCGGGCTAACTGGGTTGAAGTCCGGGAGTGGGTTTGTACAAGAGTGACGGAAGAAGGGTCGGCTCTGTCAAGGCGAGCGTTTTTCGTGAGCTTGCCGTCCGCGGCCGATTGGATGTTGTTGGTGCCTTGAGTGTCAGGTGTCAATATTTGCTCAGAGGCCCAAGCTCCAAGCTGTGCTTTCCTCAAGTTAAACGTGTTGCAAATGGTCCGTGCTTCAAAGTCACCGACTGGCGGCACGTGGAAACCTTTCTCCGCTTTGACTTGTGACAAATGACTCCATTTCGTGACATCACACCCCGCACTCCCGTTTGCGGGAACCTAACGGTCCCGTCTGGAGCTGCCTGTTTTCCTTGGTTTCCATTGGTTGACTTGCTGTCACGGATGGAGTTTGAGGACCCTGCTGGACTACTCCTCTTTGCTTGGTCTCGCCAGTGCTCGCTTCAGGGCACTTGCAGGGCAGTGTCACTGTTGGTCGTTGTCAACATGGAAACAGGGCAAAGTAAACAAGACATCCGGAAATAAGGGGTCTCGGTCGGTGAAGCCAGCAGCCAGCAAACCACGAGAGCTTCGAGTAAAGCTATTTGAAATCTTGTCCCCGTAAAGAAGTGTAAAGAAGTGATATTATTCACCGTTCCCTCCTCCTTCTGGAAGTCAACATCTCCCCCCTTTCTCCATTTGTTTACTTGCAGCATACAGCATCCAGACATACATCCGAGACCAAGACAGTTAGACTGCGGGGAAACAAGACTCATCAACAACACCTCCTCATTGCTACCCTAGAAAGTCATCGTTGCACAACCTACCCGACACTCCCCCCATCCAATAACTCTTGATCTCCTCCCTCCCTCTTTTCACTTTCATCCGGAGAATAACTCTTTCTCTTTTCCGTTCATCACACCTTTATCTCCGTCGTTCCATTGCTGGTTATTGCTGCCCGTTGTGCGTGTGCGTGTGCTTCACATCCCGTGCCGTGCAGTACAGTACCAGTGTTTGGTTGTCAAGGAGAGAAAGGAAGCTTCCCCGCACGCAAAAGGAACGCCTCCCCGCTGTCTGCTGTCTGTCTGTCTGCCGTCTGCCCGTGTCAAAGCTGCTTCCCCCGGAAAGGAACACAACAAACCAACCCGTCTGCCACTTTCCTTTTGGAAGACGTTGTCCAACCTCGGAATCAAACCACAACACAGCTAGATCGTGCCATATCAACCATATCGACCCATTCCACGAGTTTCGCGGTTCCCTGTTCTTTAGTTGTTTCGCGACAGTCGCATCAAGTATACATACCCCAGGTATACTCGGTCAACTTGCACGAAACAGATACAACCGTCAACCGAACCCGACCGCATTCGTCACGGTCACTTGTCGCATTCGACCAGCAAGCACCACTTCGAACTCGCAACATCTCTCGAGACTTGAACTTCCTCCGGACAAACACAAACAACATCCTTAGACGACTACCAGAACACCACTGCACTCAACAAGATGCTATCACGACAAGCCCTGCGCGTCACCATGCGCCCAACCACCCTCGCCGCGGGACTGCTCCGGCCCTTCTCCACCACTCCCACGATCCTTTCCCCTAAAACCCCCTCCCTAGCCGACATCAAACCCAACACAGTCGACTCCTTCAACGCCAAACAAAAGTTATTCCGGGAGCAGCTAGCAGAGCAGAAGCGACAGCAGGAAGCGAGTGCGTTATCATCTATCCTCTCCAATTCCTCCAATTCCCCCTCTTCCACCTCCAACTCCCCCACTTCCAATTCCACTCACACCCCTTCCTCCAAAAAAACAGAAGCAGCCCAACTCGCCGCCGCCGAAGCCGCCGCCCACGAACCGCCTCGCAAAGCCGGGCCCCTGACGAATCTGATTTATGGCACAAAGGAGGGCAGGGAACTAGATGCCCAGCTCGAAGCGAGTTTCAGCCAGGTGCTGGCGCGCGGTAAGTATGTGCACAGCATCACGTTTGACCAGGTCAGACCGGAGTGCGTGGATGAGTATGTCGGGCTGGTGGGCGAGTGGTACCCGAAGTGGGCAAGGGATCCGGAGAATAAGGTGCATTTGGTCGGGAGCTGGAGGGGGGAGGTGGGGGATGTTGATACTTTTGGTACGTCTTGTCCCGTTCCGTTCCTTGGTCCGTCGTGAGAAAATCCTTAAAATTCATGACGCTGCGCTGGCCTTTTTTTTTTTTCCATTGCTCGCTGCGCTCGAGGGTCGGGTGTTCTTAGTCGCTGTCTCTCCTTCCTTGGCAAGCTGCTATTCGGCTAGGCTATTCGTGTGCGGCGGGATGCGAATCGAGCGAAGCGAGGAAAGAAAGAAAAAAAAAGAAGGCCAGCGCAGCGTCACCCACTGCAATGGAAAAGAAGAAGCAACTTAAGAAAGCTGCTAACAGAAGAAAAAAACATCGACAGTCCACATCTGGGAATACCAACGCTACACAGGCCTACACTCCTCCCTCTCCTCTCTCAGTTCGCACCCCTCCTACCCTACCTTCTCCCGACAACTCGCCCCCCTCCTGCACAAGCGACACACCTCCCTAATGCAAGAATTCTCCTTCTGGCCCACCACCCCGCCCCGTCAACTAGGCGGTATCTTCGAGTTACGCTCCTACACTTTACACCCCGGTAACTTATTGGAGTGGGAAACGCACTGGCGGAGAGGACTGAAAGCCAGACGCGAGGTGATGGAAGGGGTGGGGGCTTGGTTCGTGCAGATCGGGGAGCTGAATACGGTGCATCACTTGTGGCAGTTTGCGGACCTGGAGGAACGAAGAAGACAGAGGGAGGAGAGTTGGGCTATAAAGGGGTGGGCGGAGACGGTGCATAAGACTGTGCCGTTGATTCAGACGATGAAGAGCAGGATTTTGGTGCCCATGCCTTGGAGTCCTGTTGCGTAAACAGCCTGGGGATTTGGGTCAGTAGGGGAAAGGAGATGGATTTGAAGGAGATGTGATGGGATATGCTGGGATATGATGGGCTTTGGGATCTGGGAGCAGGTAATGAAGAGATGGACGAATTTCTGGAGCTGGAAGGATAATTAGGGATCATGTGTATATGCTGCGTTTTGTAATGTCTGGAATGTTAGGCGAGCTGGACGAATATTGCGGTTAGGTTTGGTACTTCATCAACAAATACCATTCGTATTTGTACTCATTCTCAAGAAACATTACCACCATGCTACTGATAACCGAAGCGCCTGCTAAACCTCCATAGACTGTGACTACGGACAACAATGCCGAAAACAACACATGAATCCCTTGGTATAAAACGTCCTATCCAACTCCAGCCAATGCGAACAACAACACCAACGACTTCCATATACACTGTCAGCCTCCCGTGTCCCGTCCGACCCGAAATAAGTCTCACTACTCCCCTTCAAGGACAGTAGCCGTCTGGCCCTCTAATCCTCCAGCTCCTCTCCCATGACCGCTGCCAAGTTCCTCCGTGCCAAGCCCAGCGTGTGTCCCAAAGCCGTCAGTTTCGCCGCCAGTGACAACAGACTAGGATCAGCACTTTCCACTCGGACTTTTTCCCTCACAAAGACGTCCACTTGTGGCTGCTGTTGCGGCTTCGTCCCCGTCCCCGCCGTCTGGGTAGACCTCCCACTGCTGCTCGACGGCATCACACCCCCCGGACTCCCCATCGGCCCGATGTGTTCCTCCCCAGCGCAACAAAACCCAAACATCCTATCCGCCTCATCATGCTCCAGCCTCCGCGCGGTACCAATCGCAAACGCGAGCTTGGTCCCGAAACCGACAGGGGCGCCGGCGGCTTCGAGACTGCGCAGCCAAAGGACTATGCTGCTCTCTTGGATACTCAAATGGAAACTTACAGGCGGTATCGGTGTCGCTCCAGGATTATTATTCGACGCGGCCGCGGTAAGCGGAGGATCGAAATGCGAAGGAGCAATCGACCTCGTAGTCCAGGAGGGATCGGCGGCTGTTACTAGCGGAGGACCTTTCAGGATGGCGCATGATTCGGAAATCGATTGCGAGAGGAGACGGAGTTGGGAGGAGAGGAAGGCGGCGGACGAGAGTTGCGGAGATGAGGATCGTGATTTGGAGGACGCGGAATCGGATGCGAGAGAAGGGTCAGAGGACTCGGTCGGGTATGTGAAGGAGAGCGTCATGGTTAGAAGGTCGAGGGAGTGCGTGAGGAGGGTGTGTAAAGTGACTAGTGGCGCGAGGTGGATTGGGTGGTCGGGGTTTATGGTGAGGGTTTGTTGGGGGAGGGTGCGTAGGCGGAGGTGGATGGTCTGGTTGGAGGACTGTTAGTTGGTGTCTGGAGGGGACAGTTAGTTAGGTGATGGACGAAGATGACTGACCCCCTTGACTATCCGTGTGCCGACCCGGGTGATGTGCCCCTTGACAATCTCGTTTCGTGGTGTGCTGAGTACCAAGGTGCTGCCCGGGTCTATCGGCGCAAGCAGCGCATAGCAGTCTTCGAGGCCATGTTTGAGGTTGGTGAGGGTTTCGCGGAGTTCTTGGACGAGCCAGTCGAGTTCGCGTTCCTGTCGAGGAGGAGGGCGCGCAAAGGGCGAGTCAATTAGCTCCCAGCCTTCAGATATATCTACTGCCATTGTTTTGTATGCAGACCGAGGAGCGCATGGAGATGACGGATGTGCTTACTTGGCATGTTTCGACGGCGGTTTTAAGGTGCTCTGGCGCAATAGGTGGCCAGATCTCGACAGACATGGTTGACGATGGTCGCGTAGGGTATTATTGGTGATTCGTGTTGTTGGATCAGGCATCCATCGTATCAAATGGTTATTGTGTCGTGGCCAGAAGAATACTCGATGGATAAGATGCTGCCTGTTGTGGTGTTTTGCTGGAGTTGAAGTCGACATGAACACTGGACAGCAATTGGGACAATGACGGATGCTTGATGCATGGAGCCAAGTGGGGAGCTTCGCGGCCGTGGAAGCACGCTAAGCCGCATGCAGTAGGCGGTGAAGCGGCAAGAGAATCTGGGGTTGTAAGTGACCCCACCCTCTTGAATCTTAACTGTTCAGTTTCTTGATTCAGCATTTGTCCCGGCGCAACACCCGTTTGGCCACCTTGTTTACAATCACCAACGAACATTCAAACGCCCAGTTGCACTTCACCAATTCATCACCCAAAAGACTACATATCCCTTGATCAATTATACGACCTGCGCAAAACCTTGAGCAATCCAAGCATAAAAAGACAGCCGGCGCACCAGGCCCAACCTAGGCAGCTCTCGATTCTCAATTCCAGATTTCCAACTCGACACTCTGGAATCGCGTCGCGCAAAGTCTCCTCAGCCCAGCCAGCCACCATGGAGGCATCAACAACGCCCAAACCGCTGCCTAACCGGCCAGACCAAAAGATGCCACCTATCCCCAAAGGTACGCGTGTCCTTCCCCTCGTCCCATTCGCTTTCCCAGTGTCCCCCTTCCCTTCCCTCCTCTCCAGCTCCTCAACTGCTCTTGACAAAAGTACTAACCCGCTATCTTCTCATCCTCAGGCTCCCGCATCCAAAAACGTCCTCTTCCCGCCCCCCTCTCCCACCGCCTCTCCTCCTCCAACACCTCCCGCTCCTCGACTCTTTCCACAATACCAACCGACATCGACGGCTTCCGCCCTCCACCGCGCGCTCCTCACACGCTCATCATAAAAGTCACATCCTCGGCGCCCTTCATGTCCCTCGTCAAGCGCGTGCGCAAGGGGTTGGAGTCTCGATCCTCGCTTTCGCGACAACAATCTACAAAAGGTTTGCCTTTGACGGCGAGGATAGCTGCTCTTGACACGACTGGAGGAGGGGGCAATAAAGAAGGAGGGGGAAATGGGCTGGGGCCGGTGGAGGATGCGCTGGATGATGTGGTTCTCGTCGCGACGGGGAGGGCAATTCAGAAAGCGGTGGAGGTGGGGTGTTTCTTTACGAGGGAACGGGATCTGATGGTGTTGCTGAGGACGAGGACGGTGAGGGGGGTGGATGATGTTGTTAGGGCAGAAGAAGAAGATGGTGGGGAGGATGGGAGTGCGGAGGAGGAGGAGAGCGGGGCGAGGGTGAGAGCTGTTAGCTGTGTGGAGGTGGGGGTTCGGTGGCGGGCGACCTGATGAAGAGGAATTGGACGTGAAGCGGGAGAACGGGGTTTTAGGAGATGGGATGGTCAGGAAGAAACATCCACGGAGTTCAGGTTTGAGTTCTACAAGTATATCCAACACATTTGGGATATGGAGTTATGGATTTACAGCATTGGATGGCCTGCTTACCTCTAGGTAGGGCAGTCGCCAAGCGGTGGACTTGGGTTCTGAAGAGGAGGATCGCCGCGCAGTTTTGATACAGCTTGGGATGCTATGGTCCCAGCAATGATACCACGAAGTATTCGGTGAAGCTATCGTCGTTTTACCCATCAGCCATTCACTGTTTGTTACAAGGCGTTTTGCCCAAAGATTTCCGTCGTCTTGGCGTTTGCTTGCTGCATTCAACAACGGCATAATCCGTTCACCATGCTTTCGGTATTAGCGAGGGAGATATAGCGGTGAACCGGTAGGGTTTTTCCACTTGACCAAAGATTTCGCATAGCTAGCCGAATCGGATCGCTTCTCACGACAAATCGAAGCCACCGTTGGTTTCATGTTCGGCTCTTTCCGGCCTGTGTTTCAGGCCGCCTTGGGTCGCCGAGGCTTTTTACCGTGATGGCGGTTTCGCAGTTTCGGGCGTCTGCTCATGGGACCATGGAAGAAGACCAAGCTGCGAACCGGGATTAGCTATAACAGGGCTAGCTATGGCAGGGCTTTTGGATCGTGGCGTGTTTCGACTTTCGAGAAGCCTGTCGATATGATGCTGTCTCCCTTTGCCACGACGCGACAATGTTTTCGTGGTGGTGGCTTTTCTACGGTGATGCACCTTACCGTGCATCGGTTCGTATCACGGAATGCTGCATTGAGAAGAACGGTTGTGGGTAGGTGAAGGGTTCGACCTTCGTCGGGTAAAGGTGTGAGCGGTGTTACTAGAAACCCACGATGACAGGCCCCGGCTCATTGCTGCTTGCTTGTGTCAAAAACAGGACATGAAGGAAAAAGGAGATGTTTCCATGGTGGACTTGGTGACCATGATGGTGTGACCAGCTGCGACCACGTTTCTGAGGCTGCAGGCTTCCTTTCCAGGCTCCATCCATCCAGCCAATTGCCTCATGGTCGCTAAGCACGTCAACATGAAGCAAATGGAGGCGAGCGTACCCGATCAAATGTTCTCATTTCCCGGCGATGACTCGTTTTCTCTTACACCCGTCGCTCACCGCAAAATCGCAAATATCTCCCCACGATCTGATGTGTCTTAATCGGGCGAGGCTGACTGTGATCAACATGTCGGATGCCCAACCCGAGCAGCGTCGAACAAGCTTTTCGTCAACAAGGGTCTGAACCAATCTCGCGGGGTGGATTTTCTGATGTGTCGGGGATGCGATGAGGGATGAGCCGATGAGTTCCGGGGGGAGCAAGGATTCCAAAACGGTCGCAGATTTTCGGCGATGAGTGACGATAAGCAGGAGATCTTAACAAAAACAGCGACAAAGAGGATCCAAGAGGCTCTTCACCGTCCAAACTCAATTTGAGAGGTTGAATTGAGACGGCCAGAAACAGTTTAGCGCCAGGTACCATCTCTTCCCGACTTTTCTCCCCGCACGGTCCACCTTGTCCTTTCTACCAATGAAAAATCGCGGTCGGGCAACACGGGCACACGGCAACGAGGCAACTACCCAACTGGGACGCAGGAACTCACAAGCGAAGCGATTCCCACGCCGCATCACGCCGCCAGTCCACGGGCGCAATCCAGGAAATCCACGCAACAAATCACAGACGGGAACTCCCTGCCGCCGACCAAATTGCGCAAATTACACTTTGGGTGCTAGCGGTGTCCGAGGTGAAAAAAAATCCCCCAAACCACTCACGCCACCGACGTCGTCACCAGTGGATTGCGCTGGATTGCGTTGGGGATGTGGTTCTGTCGGTGATAATTTGCTGACCTGATGTTGTAAGGTGGGATCAGCGATAAACGGTGCGTGACAAACATCGAGCCTCTCGTCGGCCAAAAGTTGGCAAATTGAAGCCTGGAATCCAGAACTCTCACGATGTCAACAATGCGAAGAAACGCCGCCCATTGCACGGCCACATTGGCGCATTCCTCCTTTCGCGTAAACACAAAGCGCAAATAGTTGCATCCTTTTTCACACGACGCCAGTGTGGTTTCAATAAACCTCCCATTCAGCCCGGGATGTAGGCCCGAAACCAAGTGCCCGAAACACCCTCGCCCACGGACCATGTTCGTCTCAAAAGAGTCGGAAAAGTCAGAAATTCTGGGGAAGCAAGAGTTCAACAGACGCTAAAGAAAAGCGCAATTTCCTGCAAGCTTTTCCTTGGAAATGAGGTGCCTGATACCTGCCGCGCGAGGTGACTTTTGCACCGTCTTGGCTGGTGAGGGTGCCTGTCTTGGTGGTACCGAGTACTTGCAAGAACAGACGGTCTGTTGGAGTCCAACCAATCAGAATCCCCAAAAGAACCCACCACCGACAAAGCGGTTCCTGCATTGTGGTTGCCCAAAAGTCAAAGTGGGCTTGGCGTCAACAAAGGCAATTTCGCAACAATGTGCGCCATTCCCATACCGGCACCTAGTCGTCGCCTAGTTGACCGACCCCAGACTCAGCATGGATCCAGACAATCTCTTTTCTCCTCTTGAACCCATGCTGCCCCCTCCCTTTTCCCTCTTTCCACTTTCTTACTTTATCATCTGCTCACCCACAGGCTTCGTTGGCAAAGTCCTATTATATACTCTTCAAGAGCAATCAAAACATCTCTCCGCCCTTTGAATACTTGAAGTGTTCAGGCCAGTCATTCTTTAACATTACGAGTCACGAATACCTGTCGTCGTAAATCGTCAATTCAGTCGCAAACAACAGACAAACACATCTCACCGATACTTTCATACACACCCTACGTTACCGTACCGACACTCGCGCGCGAAAGGGAAATATCAAAAAGAGCTTCAATCGCAACCAGGAAAAAGGCAGAAAGACGGAATCCATCTCCAAAACAAATCAGACAAAATGCAGTTCACCACCTCCATCCTCGCGGTCCTTGCCGCCCTCCCACTCATGGCCACCGCCAGCGCGCAACCCAACCTCTCCACCACCACCATGACCAGCTATGCTACCCTCACCAAGACCGTCACCTTGACGAAACCCCAGGTGTCCACCGTCACTTCCTTCAACGGCAACAGCACCGTCGTCTTCACCACCACCAACACGCACTTCTCCGTGCCCACGCTGTCGCCCGTCGTCGCCATCACCACCGGTGCTGATGCCCCTACCGCCACCGTGAGTGCGGCGCCTACCGAGTCGGCCAACGCCGCTGTCGGTGGCATGGGTGGTCTGTCGCACGCTGCTGTCGCCATGGTGGCCGGTGCGGTTGCTGCTGTGATGCTTTAAAGTGGTGGTGTCGTGGACCGTGGTTGGATCAATGAACTAGGGGAGGAGAGGAGGAGCTTCCTCAAGTCCGTCGGCGACAATGCGGCCGACGGATGAAGCATATTGTCACACATGGACACAAGCAACAAGATCCGTTCTACACACACTACATCACTGCCACAAACACCCGAACTCTTCGATGCGAAACATCACCCAGCTCTTTCTTTTGTTTTCTGCGTGCTCTCAGCCTTTACTGGCGCGAGCATGCAACGCCGCATCACCTCTGACTCGGCACTTGCCATGTGCTTGTCGTCGCAGTCAACCACCACAAACCACCTTTTTGGTCTTCACAAACACACCACTGTTCATACTTTCACCTCTTCACACCTTAGAGTTGGGTTTTTTTCCTCTCGGGATGAACCCGCCTTACAACTCTACTGGCTACAAGCTTTGCATTTTAATACTTCAATTCGTTCATTCCAGCAAAAAAAAAAACCAAAAAAAAAAAAAACAGACCACATTTCTTTTGTCGCAAGTTCCCTATGTCAAGCCCCCTCTGTTCCCCCCTTTCCCCCAAAACCCTTTTTTATTTTATAACTTTTTCACCGCTTGCGGTTAACGAACACGACGAACCCATGCAACGACCAATTACCACTTTCGATACCCCCTCTTGTTTTACTTGCACTTCTACGACGCTGCCGGCGTTTCGGGCCGGTGCACTTTTACTTCACTTCACGTACGGGGAAAGGGGACATACACACACGGACTTGCGCAGAATGGTTTTTTTTTTTTTTTTGCTGGCTGGACTTTGGGGCACTTGTGCCCATTAATCCTCTTACTTTTCTACTGCGGTCTATGTGGCCGCACTCTCGCGCTATTGCGAGATTGATACCCAACGTTTTTTTTTGATGTTGTTTTTTGAGTTGGGAGAAAGTTACTTACCTTTGGTTCTAACTTTTTGGGCACATGTTGATGAATATGGAATGAATATGATTTAACCAGAGAGCGGATTTTGGATACGCAGGCTGGCGTGGCGGGCGGACGGAGGGAGGGGATCTTTGAAGCTTGAGGATGAATTACTTGGAGGGAAGTGGAGGAGGTTTTATGAGAAGGAAGAGTAGCAAGAAGGATATCAAATCAAAAACTTGTATGTTTTTGGTATGACCGGAGGAGTTTCACGCGTGTTTACTGGCGAAAAGGCTTCTGGCGTTGCTTGAGTTGATATACCCCGAATCTGAATCTTTCCTCCTCCAAATTCCAAAATTCTCTCTGTTCTGTTTTTGGCATCATATCTGGGTCTCGTATCTGATGGTTCGAGGTTTGCACATATGGTGATAGGTATTTCTCGGATGTGGTTTTGGCGAGAGTAGGACGGTCATCCGACCATACGATGGAGATGATGTGATGATTCCCATGAGATGAGTGCAATTGAGACAATTGCCCTTTGCAATCATGGTGCAATTTCCCAAAAAACCTCAAATCTCCCAAACCTTCCCGCTCGTCAATGCCAAGTGGGCCGCAATGTCACCGATAGCATGTTGTGATATTGTGCGATAATGAGGTGTTCATCAACAACAACAAGGTCCTTGTTTCCCTTGTTCCGGCTGATAGGAGGACAATGAGCTCAGCGGCCCGTAGCATTCATTGTCAATCCGCTCAAAGGCAATTGTCAGGAACAGACCGTCCTTTGTGAGGCTCTCTTGAAAGGACATGACAGGACAGGACAGGACGAGCTCTTTGTTCAGTGTAGGTGTTCTGTGATGCCCGTCAAAGAGGGAGGGAAGGAAGTCTGTGGAGATGACATTGAGACTGACAGCGTTGATCGCGATTGAGCAATCATCCCAAGAATTGCTTTTGATCTGCATGATTATCAGGGCACGTGTCAGGGCAGCAAGCAGCAGGGAAAAAGGAAATCACAAAAAGCTTAGTTTCTTTTTCTGGTGAAAGATGGTGGTGATCGGGCGTGCAAATCGACAGGTCGCAAGCATTGAGCGGACGGGAGTTACCGTCTTGCACTGAAAAAGGAAGTGGTGCAAGTACCGGTACTTACAGCGGCCAGGGCAGCTGCATTGGTGATCTGGGGGAGGCGCAGTGGTTGCAGCGCTGTAGGTAGGGCAGAGTTTACCGGTACCTCTATCAGTACTGAGATTTACGCTCGTCAACAGCCCCTAACAGAATATGCGCATCTTATCGGGTCAAAAGTGTTAGCGCATCATATCTCACTAACAGAAACCAAACACTCACCCGGCCGGAAGAACCTCTCCGGTTCCACACCGCCCGCCCCTCTTCCATCCCTCCGGGCCCGGGCGCGCCAACCGAGCAAACCTCAATTCAACGTCAAATCATCCAACATTTGACCGACACCAACCGAAATTGGATCTATATATGTACCCCGTCCACAACAAGCGACCAAGGCAACCACGGCGAACGGGCCTTAAAGCTGTTTCCACAACATTCAAAATCTTTGCTCTCCGTCGCGACTTGATGACATGACCCTATGACTCCCGGGCGTGAAGCAGTACAACAATGCCGTAGGGGACCCGGCGATGCTGAAACGTGCGTCCCGAGGGGCCGAAGTCGGCTTTCTACAAGGAAGATTCCTGTTGACGGTCAACAGCAATGTGGGTATTTCCACCATGGAACGAAGCTATCGTGAGTTCGTGACTGAGGCGCAATACGCTCGAGCGAGCGAGCCATAACACTGTCGCGAATGTGGGAAGGTAGCAAAACAAAACAAAACAAAACAAAACAAAACAAAACAAAACAAAACAAAACAAACATCGCAGCATTCCAAGGGAGCTCGGGGAGGAATGAGACAAGACAAGCACTTGGCACTGCACAGACGTTGGGCGTTGGGACGCTGGGAGAAGCGAACAATGGACGCATGTCTCAGACACACAGCCCCAGACTGCAAGTGCAGCGGAAGTCATGAACTCAAGGCATTTCATTTCTCTCTCTTAAGACTTAAACTCTTGTGTCATGTGTCCAGCCAGAGTCAGACTCCCTTTTCCTATTCCTTCCCCCACTCGTCTCACTCCGCTGTTTCCCCGGGCCGTTATCAACCTTCCCTTCCACCATTCCTACCTATACTTCCGCTTTCCTTTCCTTTCCAACTCGCCTTCCAATCTTTCACGTCTCCTCTCTCCCTGACACAATTCCTACTGGCACCAGCACCAGCACTCGCCCTCGCCCTCCTCCTCCCTGTCCCCGCCGTCGTTCCCGCGGTTCACGTCGTCACCGTCCTACTCCTTCTTCTTTCCAGGGCACGAAATTTCAGAACTCTCGCCACCCTCGGCACCCTCACGGGTAGGCTTCGGCGGCGGCTTAACAGGCCCAATGGTCTTGGGATAGCCGCGCGAGCCGTCGTTCGGGGCGTTGGTGGCATCATCGCTGTTGTTGGAGTTGACGATGCGGTCGTTGTTGTGGTGAGTGGTGGCCGGCATTGTGGTGGTTGAGTTGGTGTTGGTCTTGGTGGGGTTCTGTTGCTTGGGCTTTGGGGGGAAGGGCTCGGATTTGAGGTTGGGAGTCGTGGTTGTTGGGTTTGGGGTGAATTGAGGGTCTGATAGGGAGTCAGTGGCTGGCAGGATAAATGTTATGTGCTGGGCACGCTTACTGCTACTGGGAGCTGGACTAGTGGTCTGGATGCGCGGGAGAAGGATGTGGAAGTGATGAGTTGGATGGTGAAGAAAGCTGGGAGTTGGGAGGGTGAGAAGGTGGGTTACATATTCGAGTGAGTAGCGTTGGCGTTTGTCTTTGCGTGCTTCGAGTGAGCGTTGAGGATGTCATAATGTGGGAGGAGTTCAGGGTTGAACAATCGGCCGTTTCAGCGAGCGACAGATGGGACTAGATGGGACCAGAGGTCAGTCGTTGATGTCTTCGAGGTTGTTGGTCAGCAGGTTTGCTAGCGCCAAGTGGTCTTGACCTCGATTCTTCAGGGGGTCTGTTTGACCATATGCTGTTCGGACTTCGGTCCGGATCGGCTCAGGCGAGTTTGCCTTGGGCTGTGGGTATCAGGCCGTGGGCAGGCTCGACCGAGTCAACGAGATGTCTTCAGACCCCAGATCACCGGAGGTCATGATGGTTGCTTGCTCGAGGGTAATCAACAAGGAGCGGAGGCAAACTAAGCCTGCGTTTGATGCAAGCGCGTCGTTGGTACGAAGGTAACTTCAATGTGCGATTCTCTTGGCCGACGGATGCTTCTTCATGGCCAGACCCTCAGCAACGGCCAAACGCACGCCATCCTTTCTCCACCCTTCTTGGGTTCTTCTTCCCTAGCTAAGCACCTTCTAAGCCAAACGACCGCGGCTTGTGGACGAGGTTTGAACGAGAAAGACGCCAACAGCACTGCATTCTAAAGAGGTATGACACCGGCAATACGGAAACGGGAACAGTGAAACCCATCAAGTCGAAAAGACGCATCTTGAACTCAATACACTTCATTCACTGCCCTGTCTAGTGACTGAACCATCTAATCACACATCTTCTACTCACCACTTCACATCACCTGCCCGCCTAACCTGTGTCCAGGCACCCGACACCAGATTACTTCGAGTCCTTACCACCACTTCCCGAGCCCGAATTGCCACCAGATGAACCGCCACTATTTCCGGAACCAGAGCCAGAACCAGAGCCAGAAGTACCTTGACCGCCACTGCTTGAGCCAGAATTACCCGAGCCAGAACCACTGGTGCCCGAACCACTGGTGCCAGAGCCGCCAGAACCACCTGATGATCCTCCTTTGGAAGTGCCTCCATAAGTACCAGCCCCAGCCTTCCTCGTCTTGTACTCATCGTTGGTCTTGGGGGGAGTGAGGACGCCCATTTTCGGTCTGTGCTTGAGAGGGTGGTGTGGAAAGGATCTGGTGTTAGTGTGAGCGTCAGAGGGCCCGGATTGAGGTAAGCTTGGGGCTTCAGCAGGATTGCTTACGGGCAATTAACTGCTTGGATTTCTGTTCAGAAGGTGTAGGGAGTGGTGAGACTGGTTGATGATGAACCGACGGTTGGGAGTTATGGGGGCCGTGAGGCGATGCTATATACTCGAGTGAATGATGTTTGCGTAAGCATGTCCGACGGTCACGTCTTCGACATACGTCGTGGGTGGTACAGGTAGGTATGGTTTGTCAGTGCCAAGTGGCCTCGACAACTTCTACGCTCTTCTGTTCTGCCGGTCTTGCAAGTTTGACATGACCATAAGGTTGGGACTCGCGTGAGGTTTGTGCTCCTGAGGTCCCAAGATACGGCATTCGTCTAGGTCTCATCAGCATCAACACACCTGAGGCAACCTTTCCCGGTATTGGACACATGTGTCACCAAAGCATGACTGACACGAGACAAATCAAGCGGTTGAGGCTCAATGAACTTCCATACGTCCGTCATGTTTGCGACCATTCCTTCTGATTTCCTTCTTTCCAATCCGTCCAACTGACCTTCCACAACACAGCTTCTTTCGAATTTGCACGAAAACCCCTCTTCTTCATTTTTCTCGTTTTCCGTCGTACCTTTCTCTCGAACAATCCCGAGGCAAACATCACCGTCTCGCCTTCCACGTCTTCCTCTAACAAACATAGAGGTTCGGCACCGAAAACGCCACCCCTACACTCTTGCACTACTTCACCACTACCTCTAACTACTGAGACTCCATGACCTGTCCGTGCCAGAAGATACCGCGGTAGTAGAGGGGGAAGGATTCTGGACGGTAGTTGTCGAGCTAGAGCCGTAACCACCACCAGTAGTGCCGGAAGTACCGCCTGTGTTGCCGCCGGTGCCGGTGCCGGAGCCGGTGTTGGTGGTAGAGCCCGTGCCGGAACCGGAACCGGAACCGGAACCGGTGCCAGAGGAGGAAGTGCGGCTGCCGCCGCAGCAGGAGGAGAAGTAGCTGGACATTTTGTAGCGGTTGTGGGTTATGGATACGATGGTGGGTAGGTTGTGAAGTTGTGCTGTTCTGAAGTGAGGAGAGAACCAGGAGCGCAGCCGTTTGGGCTTTATACCTCACACTCAACAAGTGTCGAGTGATTCACGCGTCATCTATTACTCGAGCTGGGCCATAATCGTGCTCACTCACCCTACTTAGAGTCGCCGTTAATCACGGAAAGGGTTTAGCGCGCTTTCCTGGTGAGATATGTCACAACTCGAGACCGAATGTTGCACCGGTTTGGTTTGGGTTTGGAATGAAGCAGACGCCGATGACTGCACCCACAACTGCTTTCTCGCGCACCCGAACCTTCTAACACACCAACTATGTCGACCAGGGTCAGCATCGATGCTTCAGGCATCGCAGATAGACTCCTTGGCATCCAGCCACGGACGAACCATCATTCCAACTCAGTCTCTGAGCCACAGGAACACTGCAACATTGCGGCCTGATTTGCTTCTGCCGGCAGAGCTGTCCATTTATCCTCGGTCCAGAGATCCCCGGGCATCTCTCCAGAACTCGGTACTACCTTGTAGCACATCTACCGACCACAGCAGGCGCCATCACAGAACTTCAGCCTGATCTCAATGCAGATGCAGTAGGAACACGCATACCACAGCAGAATTTGATGTCTGGAAGGGAAAATGTATTATGCAGACGACCCGCTACTTCAGCTTCCATACCCACATATTTCGACTGTCTAACACCTGGTTATCCCAACACAGCTCTATATCCCATAGACACTTCACCCTCCTCGAATCTTTCTCCATCTCTCCCTCCCCCGAACCTCTCAAGGCCCTCTAGTTACCCCCCAAACTACCCCCACTACCCTGATGCCCACTAGACCCCCCAGCACTACTGCCGCCAGAGCTGGAAGCTGAACCGCCGCCCGTGGCGTAGCCGCTGTCGTGGCGGGAGGTAGAAGAGTTATAGGAGGAAGAAGAAGAACCGCCGGTGGTGCCGGAGGTGGTGCCCGAGCCCGAGCCGGAGTTGCGGGTGGTGGAGATGCAGCTGCCTGTGAGGTTGTAGCCGCCGGAGCTGGAACCAGAGTTGTTGGAGCTCATTGTGCTGGTTTTGGGTTATTGGTTGGGTTGGGGGTTGGTGTTGAGTGGATGGTTGTTATGGTGGTCTGGGAGATTCTTTGGGGAGGGATGCGGTCGAGTCTTATAGGCTCGGATGTCGTCAAGACAAATTGCCGCTTGAGGTGCCCTCGCGATGTTTGTCTGACCCTTGGTCATAATCGACTGACAGTGGTTTATCTGGCTGGTTCTGTGGGTGATGACAGGTCCAATGATGAGTTCGGGTGTTGATGGCGTTGGAAAGATCAGGACTGAAGGTTTGCTCTCTTGGCCTTACATGATAAATAGAGGGAGACGTGGGCCAAACGCATTGCAAACGATATCACAGCCCTGGAGGGACGACTGAACGGTTTCGATGCTGCACCAACAGCTTCTGCTTCACGGACGAGATAGGAAAGTGCATTTCACGAACGGACGGACCGGATTCCAACACCAACACGAACACGACGAAGGCAGGATAAAGACATGCATCATCCCAAGCCTCACTTTGTTCCGATGAAATGCAATCATAGGTACTTCTACCACTTGATGTTAATACTGAAATAGCTGCCACTCGCAACGCTAATCCCATCTGTTTCGACCGAACACAACTCAACGCACCACCTCATCATCACATTACGTCATGTTCCTTTCATGGTGTGCATGGCCTACACTGCCCCTTTTGATCCAAGACAACGTAACGGAAGTCAACCACCGATCTACGCAGCAAAGACAAGTCTTCCACTGTTGAATATTGACGGCATGCACTACCAATATTCCTGCATTGCATATCGATCTAAACACGTTTCCCCAACTCATGTATCTAGCTATATAAGGATGGACTCTACTGTCTATTCCTTCCTTTCTTTTCTTTTCTTCTCTTTAACTAATTTAAGCATTCTTAACTTCATTCATCTACCCTCGTGTTATCGTGCACTCAGTAGATTGCGACATCTATACCCTCTTACAGTCTATCTACTACTAGAACCATTAGAACTTCCACCCGCGGTGCTTCCTCCTCCCGCGGAACCTCCACTAGTCGTCGACCCACCAACAGTTGTGTTCCCACCGCTTCCCACACCTGGAGAGACCGTGACAAAGCCCTGGGAGGAGCCCGAGCTGTTACCAGAGTTGGTGCTGGAGCTGCTGCCACGGGTTGTCGAGCAGCAGCTGCCGCCAAGGGATGTGCTTGTGTCGGAGGAGCTCATTTTGATGGTGCTGATAATGGTTGCTAGGTGACTTTGCTGTGAGTAACGTTTATTGGATTAGACTTTGGTGGATGAGCGAGTGGAAGAAGATGGTTGGGGGTGTTGATGGTTCAAACGGAAAGTGATGTGGTGCGCGGAAGGAAGCTTTTATGCTGACGTTTCAAGCTCCAGGTGCCGGAAGACATAGATCTTTCGGCCGGACGTGAGACTCGGCATGGAACACAAGTGCTTCAACCTGTCGATTGACAAATGCTAATGCGTCAAAGGTACAAGCTAATGGTTCGGTGCTTTGGGATGGTGGCAAGCTTAGAGGTAAGATTGAAGGCTTTGTCCGGGGTCAAGTCGAACCATGATGCTCATGCCTTATCATGATCTATCTTTCTTCAAACAACCGGAGGTGCTCTTCAAGGCTTCAAGCCCCCACAAATAGCGCCGGCGTTATCAAGACACGAAGGCCATATTTGGATGAAACATGTCAGACAACACAACACAAATGTAGGCATCACAGACACAATGGTCTTTTCAGTCATGAACACTGCGGTCTTCATTTCCATTCTGATTCCTCCCGATCATGCTAACGCAGAAAGCAGCTAATTCCATCATCCATGACGTCTCACTACCTACGTACCAACCAAGGCCGTCACACCATCCTTCCCACCAACAAGTCCTGTCCTTGAACCCAGGCTCTACCTCTTGCTAGAACCGCTACTAGAGCTACCGGTGCTTCCACTGCTGCCCCAGCTGCTACCCTGAGTCCCCTGACTAGTCGTCGAGCCACCAACCGTTGTAGTCGAGCCCCCAGAGCTACTACTTCCCGAAGAGGGGTTGGAGATGATGCCCTCAGAGACGTTGCCGGAGCCAGAAGTACCTGAAGCACCAGATGTTGAGGATGCGCTTGATGACCAGCAGCCGCCGCCGACTGCACCGTGTTTGCCGTAGGAGCTCATTGTGAATGCTGGAGAAGTTGTTTCTCTTTCTCTGATGGTTGGGTTTTGAGGATCGGGAAAGTTCCGGTTCAAGAAGGTGTGCCAAAAGGGTGACATGAAGAGGGAGAGAGAGGTAGGTTGCCAGGCTCTTTGTGTGGTAAAAGGAAGTCACGAGCCTGAGTTATAAGCGGACAGGTATGTCGCCCTCAACGAATGTCTCGAACAGAGAACAATGCGTCAATTCCACGGGCTATAAGCTGCCCTTCCAGTCCTAGCCCTTACGATGTTGGCAGGCTTTGGATCGATGATTTCCATGGTTTGGTTCAAATCACAAAAGGTCCACAGGCCAAACTATAGGTTCTCAAACAATCTGCATGGCCCTTGACCGAGAAATTTCTCTTGACAGTTCGTTGCACGAGCAACTTGCTCTTCAAGGGCTTAAGCGTCTGCTATGAGAGGGCCAGCATTCAGTGGAAACTGCTTGACGTGGAAAACACTGACATATCCCAGACATTATCCGATACTTTGACGTTATGCATCACAACACCCAACTGTTATGTTTACGAGGCATACATGGCTGACTTCAAACTTCTTGTCATTCCTTCATGTTGTGACTGCTCGAGTACCAGCAGACGGCAATTTCATATGCGAAAGTTCCCTACTTCTGGTTTCAGACGCACCGGCGATACCAGACTTGGATTTGACAACGACACCGAAGAGCCTTGACCAAACTGCAAACGATAGACTCCAAATGCCAGTTTTCCCGTTTAGAACATCAGTCCAATATTCTATTGTAGGATGTTTTAAGTCCAATCCTCAGTGCTTCTAGAACGGAAACTGGATGATGCATTACACAGACCTTTGACCCGGTACGTGACACAGACACAACAGAGCGATGCTTGCATCATGCCAGTGCTGCACACAAGCCAAGTCAAGTCAAGTCGGGGGTCTAATTTAACTTGTTTGTAAAAAATAAGCATGTGCGTGACTTGTTTTGACCCCCGATTTGACTTGGCTTGTTAACTTGCTTGCGTCAATACATGTACCAGACCAACATGCACCCCCCTCCAGATACCTACAGTCGGGGATATTTTAGTACATATATGTCCGTGCTTTGGAGAAACAACAAATCGAGTCAGCTTCTGGACTTGAATTAACTTGAACAGGCTTTCGGGCAACTTGACTTGCCTCCCAACGAGCTGACTTGGCTTATGTGCAGCACTGCATCATGCAACCACTCTCGAACATGGCAACTAGCCGTTCAAGGACTGAAACTTCCGCAATGCAGAGATTGAGTGCATATCGCACATCCCACGTTCTTTATCACACTCTCCCCCAGCTATGACGCTGTGGCTTTGTTTGAACGGTACCTGAACAGGGGTAAGCAACCAGACTCGGTTCAGCCGCTTCAGCTGATAGACAATCACGAACCGGATTTGGCATATCGAATTTCCATCACGGAATCCTTCTGGAAGAGAAACGGCGGGCACATGCGAGTCATCAACGGCGATAAGACATTCCGACGCTGTCGGTACTTTAACGCGCATTGAGATGACTGCAAGGGCCGCAGGACGTGTAACTCGAGCGGCATCTCGAACATGTTGAGGAGAAGCTTGAATGTTTAAACCGACCTGAAGATTACACCGCATCACCGAGACAAATCTGCCTTTTTCGGTCTTGTGGGATGCAATTGACCAATCCTGTTCGATAGTGGCTGGGATTGGAGCTAGTCGGCGATCCAGGCCCGCTAGTGCCTGACGACATTCAGAATCGGGCGCGGATCGACACGTCTTCATCTCCACCTATCGGTGAGCACCCAGATCTAGTGGAGATATATGGGGTTTTCAGCTTTCTTTGCTTCAGCCTCCAAACCCCCACCGCTTCCCTTCTTGGGGTCACGTTTGCTTCTTCGTTTTGTTGAACGTGGAGAACAATGAGCTGTTGAAACGATTAAAGACTCGAGACTTTGTCCACTTCCTTCAGTTCGTGGGAAGGTCGGACATTCAACCAAACGGCAAGATGTACCTCCCATTGTTACTGCTTCTCAATGTACTCTGTCAAGAGACACTGGCAATGCCTCCCACAAATCCTCTGCTATGGTTCAGAGTGAGTTATTACACTTCTCACGAACAAAGAGACGGACCTGAAACTGACACAAACCAGGAACCATGTTCCTCAATGGACATGCCGTACCACTTCGGCATGCGCGGCCGTAACGGCATCTACTGGGGCTGGAATCCCGACGTCGAGCGCGGAGATAACATCACCATGATCAATCGGGCCACCGGCTACCAGGCCACCACGGTCTCCTACTTCTCGCAAATCAACTCTCCCTCCGGCTACGATGGACACCAACTGCTTGAGCACCTCGACGAGATCAAGGGCACCGGCGCCGCTCTCATCGCCGCCGTCATGCCCAACGGCCTCTCCTTCAACGAAGTCACCCCCGCCATCGCCGCCGACATCGCAAACGTTGTCCGCCAATTCACCGACCAAGGCATCGAAGTCTGGCTGCGCTTCGCGCACGAGATGAACTGGTACGTTAAACCGGGTACGTACCGCGGCAACTCGACGCAGTTCATCAAAGCGTGGCAAACGGTGCACGCAGCGGTGAAGGACATCGAAGGCTGCTTGATGTTTTGGAACCCGAACAACGCGAACACCATGGATCTGTACGAGCAGTGGTGGCCCGGGCCGGAGTATGTCGACATAGTTGGTATGGACATCTATGCGAGCAAGACGACGGCCAACTTCCGGAACATCTATGGCGGGTTCTATGAGGCGTATGCGAAGAAGTACCAGAAGCACTTTGTGATTCCGGAGACGGCGACGAAGCCGGATGATGCTGCGTTGAAGCAGAGCTGGTTGAAGGCGATGGCGAGCGATGATTTGAGTGCGTATCCGTGCTTGAAGAGTATCAGTTGGTTTGAGCTGCGGAAGAGCTTTGACTACAGAGTGGTGATGGGGCAGGGGAACGAGGTAATGGAGCAGTCTATGGAAAATTTCCGATGACAATTGGGGGCGACGGTGTCTTCGTCAAGGTCAAAAGCCTGGATAGCCGGTGCCGTCGCCGGCCCACTCGTTGCCCTTCTAGCCATCGGCGCCCTAGTCTTTTGGTGGAAGCGAAAAAGAGCCAAGAAGCATGTTGAGGCCCCTGATGTTTCGACCCAGTAATATCAGTTGACTGATTGGGTAGCATCGGACCGGAACTCGGCCGTAACGATGATCTGGATAATGAGAATTTTAGAAATGGAATGTGGGAAGTTAAGTGCAATCTCCGTTTACCAATACGTGCCCTCGGTAAAGGTTTGTTTGTTTGTTTGTGCCTGCCCTAATCCCGACGGCAAAGAGGGGGGGCTAGCTGTTTGTTCAGTTACAGTGAGGCTCATGAACCACAGGCACAAGCACATCCGTTCCTTCCATCTCAAACCGGACGTACCTACCGTAGATTCACGCTTTTTTGTTAACAGAATGGAACAGCGGTGGAGTAATTGCAGGTGAGTGGACATCTGCTCCCGATAACTTCAATACAACTGGCGGCTGAGGTCTGGGGAAACTTCCACTTTTGCGGCTTGACCGATCACCCCTGATAGTCTTCCGTTCTCTGCATATCTTGTTGAAGTTGAATACGGCTGACATCCAGCCTTATCAACCATATCGGTAGTTTCCTTATCGTTCCCTATATAGGTTATATATATATAAGCTCGTAAACTTTACGTTCATTACCTTCTCCCTTCTTTTTCCTTTAATCTAAGCCTTTTACCTATCTTTATTTTTATTCTATATCTTCTACTTCAATAGGTTATAAACCCGGATTACGCGTACTCATCGCGAATAAATTAAATTATTTACTTACCCTAGTTTTTTATTTTTATATTACTTTATTCGACGCGTTTAAATCTAGTATTTCGCGATATTTAGAAACGCTATACTATAATTACTTAGCCCGTATATATCGAATTTATTTTATATCGAGGGTATATAAACTATTTTGCATCCCGTATCCAAATACTAAGATACGGATTTATATTAAAATACACGTTTTTATTAAAATAATTATTCGTCCGCGTTTAATATAAGGTTACCTTATTAAATTAATTTACGAGAATTTTGTAATAAAAACCGCTCAATTTATATTTAATATTTAATATTACTAAAATTGAATTTTGGATATATATCGAAGATAATCTTTCGTTAAATTTATTTCGATTGCTACAAAGTAAATAAAAATCATTCATTTAATTAAATTTTAATTAAAAATATTTATTATAATTATTATTAGAAACGTATTGGACGCCGCCTACCTTATAATTCGTTGGCTTCGATTTATTGCAACTTATTATTTATTAATTCGGGCTACGGCTATTATAGCGGAAAATGTACCGAAATTGCCTTAGTTTTTATATTAACGACGGTCCAATTTAGCCTACCCTTTACTTCCGATTTATAAAATCTATTTTCTCGATACTGTAATATATAAATTCCCTGGCTATTTTCTATAATAGTATAACGTTATTAGACAGGCGTAATACTTCTAGTAATAAGGCCCGGTAATTTTCGGCATTATAATATTCGTACTAATATAATTTCCAGCCTTAGCCTTTCGCACCCGCAACGGTTAATAAATATTTAAATTGCCGTAATTTTCTTTATTTCGTATAAAAATATATAATCTTTATATGTAAGAACGTTTAACGAAACCGATATTACTTACGTCCATATTATTATTATTTTTGTATTTTCTATTTTCGACCCTATTAAACCCCTTTATATTATTTTTACTACCGAGTTCTATTAATCTTTAGGATTTTATAATTATTATTCCCCTAAACCGCTCGCGTTTTAATATTTAGGCTCCTTAAGCATCCAATTTGTAAAACTACTCTATAAATTCTATAAACGATCTATAAAAGCCCTTTAACTCTTAGAATTCTATAAATAATCTAAGAATAATTTGATAAATTCTATAAGCAATTTAGTAAATTTTAGTAGGATTTCCCCTAGCGCCTCCGTTACCCCCAATTATTCTATAACATTTTTACTAAATTCTTTTTTATTTAATATTTATATTTAATAATATTTAGCGTAAGTTTTTTATTCGCTAGAATTAATAATATCCCTAAATTTAATAATACCAACGATTAAATACATTAGAAGAGGGATATTTCAAATTATATTCGAATAGCCAGTAAAGGGGACTTCGTCGAATTCTCTACTAAATTAAAATATAAGAAGGATAAGGATAATAAAGTTTACAAGGACCGGTTATAAATTTAGTACAAATTCTAATCTAAATATATTACTCTCGTCGTTTACTATTATTATTCTATAGGCTATAAACTGATTGAGGATCCTATAGAACCCTTTAAGAAACCTGAAACTGTTAAATAAATTCTTAATATCTTTTAAAAGTATTATTATCCCAAAGGGTCTACTAATTTCGTACGCCTTTATTACGAATTGTAAAATTTTACTTCAATCAATAATAGCAACGTTTATATTTATACGGATTAATTTCGGCAATTATCGGATAATTTATATTTACTAAATAAAATGTGTAAAATATTAGCGCCCCTATTTAATCATAAATTTCTTTAAAATTTTAGTAAGAAGTATAGCCTCTTCGTTATAATTTACATTTAAAATTACAATCTATTCCCTATCTGTAAAATTAATAATAATATTATTACCTCTATAATCTCTTTCAATAATATAATTAAAATTATTGCCCGTGCTGAAGAATAATTACGTTTTAACTAAGAAGAAAAAGTACTATACGCAGTCAAGGCTAATATAGTTAAAATCGCTAAGAAAAAGAACATTAAAATTTTCCTTTAGGTTCCCTATTTAGTATATGAAGTCCTATTCTATAATAGCAATTAATATTATAAATAATATGCGGAATTGAACTATAATAAAATCGGGAAATATATACTATAGTAACTATTTTCTATAAAGGCTACCCTTAAATTATATTATATTAATAATAAATGCGAAGGTTCTAATCGTTCCTATATTATTATAAAGACGGCGATATTCGGATATTATTTGGTAGAAGAATTATTAAATAATACCGACAAAGAACCTTTATATAAGCGTTAATATTAAAATTAAAAAGTTCTTTATTTAACGATTTTAAAAGATTAATACGGATAATACGCTAATACTATTAATTTTAAAGAATTAATAAATACAACGGTTTTAAAATACCTTACCGTCGTTCCTCTAATTTAATTAATCCTAAACAATTTAATTATTATATTAATTATAGAATATAGAACTAAAATCATCTTTAATAATTTTTAGTACTTATTTACTATAAATATAGGCGTTACGTACTATCTAATATATTCCAACGAGGGATTCGTATCGCTACGTCCTTATAACGGCCCTTTAATTCTTAATATCAGGAATATTATAATTACCCCCTCCGGTATTAATATATATAAAATCCCTATAATCGTTAATGGTACGCTTAGTTACCTACTTTTTAAAAATATTTATTTTACCCCCCGAACCGCTTATAACCTTATTTTAATTTTAACCCTACAATAAAAGGGTTTTAATTTTACTATTTTAAAAGAGGGTCGGTTCTATAATATTTTTGATTATAAAATTAAATTTACCAGAAGCGAATCTAACGGCTTCTATTACTTTAATTAATTTATATCTTCCCTCCCCCGTAATATTCGACGCGCCTTTCCTACCTACTATATTTCGGATAAGTATTTATAGGTATAGTACGACTGGCTTATTTACTTCGGCGCATATAATATTAAAAAAATTTAGAAAATATTTACTAACATTATACTAATTTAAATTGCTTATATATATAAAAATTATGTAGTTGGCCGTTTAAAGTAGGTACCATATAAAGGAAAGATTTATTATAAAATAAAGCCTTTAGAATTTATTTACTTTAATCTTAATAGCCTGTTTTAATATAAAGGCGTTTATGATAAACGCTATTAATTAGTTATTATTAATAATTTTACTTAAATCTACTAGGTATTTCTGCTAATTTATAAATCTGATTTCTTTAATATTTTTAGGACGTAGGCTGAGAGCGTAGAACGGCTAAAGCGTTAAATTTATAATATTTATTTAAATAGAGTAAGAGAAAATTCTAATAACTATTTCAGCTAATAGTATTTAAATTGTAGTATTGCCTTATATTATATTGCAGCCGAATAATACTAATAGAATAGTATTATAGAACGTCTAAATAAAGTTCTTTTAAAACGAATTACCGTCCTCCTATTATAAACGGGGTTACTATTAAAATACTAGCCTTATTTATTTTAATCTATTAATTATATTAAAAATCGATACTCTAATTCAATTATTAGTAAAACGCTATATAAAACCTAATTTAGGGATCAGCCCAATTTAATATATTTACGTATCCTCGGCTCTCATAGTTTCTACTATATTTTAAACTACGAATACCGCAATAAAATATTACTCTTAAATATCTACTATAGGTTTTTTAATTATAATAACTTATATAATTAAATTATATTTATTAATTTTAATAAAATCTTTATTATTAATAACGCTATTTTTAATAAATAATTTATATATATTATCAATTCGGCCGCCTACAAGTACCCCGGAAACTAAAATAACCCGCCGGCAATTTTCCCCGGCTATAATTTAAGGGGAGTTTCTTCCGTTATATTATAATTAGGGGGAAATATTAAAGAATCTATACTAAGTTTAGAAATTCCTTATACCCTCCGCACTCCTAAACTATAAAAGCCTTAATAGGATATACTTAATACTAATTTTATATTAGATTTACTTTTAATACCGGTTATTATATTATAATTACCGACCCTACTACTAATTATTACGCTGGCCCCTTCTTTATCCCCGCTATTAATTCTACTATTATTACCAATTCTAAATATTATTATTATTAGAAGCGCCTTATACTTTGCTAACGAAACTATATTTAAACTATTAATTTTAAATACCCCGAATTACGCTTAAATAATTATATTATTATATAGCCTGAAGAAATTATATTTAAAGTTACTATATCGGACTTTTACGTCACTTTAACGGCTATAATTACCGCCGTAAATAAAGACGAAACCCTGTTCGAGCCTAAGAATCAGTAAGCTATAAAAGATATATGTATTATTAAATAATACACCGTAATAAGTAATAAATATAATTTATTTATAAATAATTTAATTAAGGCTTTAGTACTTAAATTATTAAGCCGGAAAGTATTATTAAGAAAATAAGTATATAAGGTTAAAACGGGCCCTAACGGCGAAATTATATATCATAAAATACGCTAAGTAATTAGAGGATTCGAATAATAAGAAGGTATTAATTATAATAAAACGTTTATTATACTAGTTAAGCCTATAAATTATAAATTAATCTTCGCTATTACCGCCGCATTAAATTTAGAATTCTAATAAATGGATATATTTACCGCCTTTTTATATAGTACCGTTATTAAAGAGATTTATATAAATTAACCTCCCGGCTTTATTAAGAACCTGAATAAAGTTTATCGATTAAATGAAATATTATATAATTTAAAATAATTATTATAGATTTAATATTAAATGTTCGTATTTCTTTTATAGTAAGAATGATTTACCCTTTTTACTATAGACAATGGCGTCTTTATAAAAGGATATACCTATATTATTATTTATATTAACAATTTATTAATTGCTAGACTTTCTAAAAGAGAAATTTAGGATTTAAAGAACGTATTTAATGAATAATTTAAAATATTTAATTTAAGCCCCTATTTATTCTATCTCGGTATAGTAATAATTAAGGACTGTAAATATTATATTATCTTTCTTGGCTAACGAATTTATATTAAAAAGATTATTCGAACTTTCGGGTACTAGGATACTAATTTAATAATTACCCTTATAGAGATAAGTAAAACTCTAGAACTTATAGAAGATTTTAAACCTAATCCGAAGAATAAATCTTAATATACCAACGCTATTAGCTCGCTAATATACACTATATTAGGTACTAAGCCAAATATTACCTTCGCTATAATATTTTATAATAAATATATATCAAAACTTATAAAAGCTTATATAATTACTATGAAACGTATTTTCTAATATTTATAAGGTACTATTAACTTCCAGTTAACCTTTTTAGGGCTAATCGAAAACCTTATCGGCTTTATAAATATAAATTAAATTAGAAATACTTAAAAGCGCCGATCTACTTTAGAATACGTATTTAATATTAGTAGTAATATTATTAATTACAATTTCAAAACGTAAATAATTATAGCGCTCTTATTTTATAAAATAGAATTTATAAAGTAAATTTAAGTTACGAAGGAAGCTATTTAACTACGAAGGTTATTATAGGAATTTAATACAACGAAAATACCTATTACAACAGTTATTTATGGCGATAATTAAAGAGTTTTCGTTCTTATAAGAAACTTCTAATTTTATATTAGAATTAAGTATATTGATATTTAAAAGTTTTTTGATAGGGAGAAATAGGCCGTTAGAAAAGGAAATTTTAAATATTTATTTACGAAGGAATAAATAACCGATAGCCTTACTAAACCTTTACTTCGTAATGCCTTTATTAAATTCAAGGATATATTAGAACTATAGTAAAATATCCGTTCTATTCTTAATATTTATATTATTTCTAACGGTCGTAACCCGATTTATACTTAGAAGGCACTGATATAAATAATTTCTCTTATATATTTAGCGACTTCTAATTTCAATCATTTTCGGTCCAACGATTTAAATGGCAACTTTCGTTTCTACGAAATTCCCCAATATAGGAAAATTATATCTTTATTTATTTTTATTTTTCTCTATCAATTTCTACTCCCGTATATATTTCTTAGTATTTTTTAAACCGTTTCGGCGAGCTCTTTCTAGCTATAATCCCGGTTTCTATATATAATACTTAGATAGAAAGTTATAGGATATTTTCGGAATTGGAATTTAAAAGTTAATATTTTTTCTTATTATTTTTCGAAATATTAGCCGTAGAGACCTTTTCTCCCACTAGGTTTTTACTGGCCTATAAGATTCTAGTACTTCTAGCGGCTTAAGAAGGGAAAAAGGCGATCCTATATACGGATCGAAGGGGAGTGTTGAAGTTGAATATAATTAATATCCAACTTTATTAACTTCATCAGTAGTTTCCTTATCGTTCCCTATATAGATTATATATATAAGTTCGTAAACTTTACGTTTACTCCCTTCTCCCTTCTTTTCCCTTTAATCTAAGCCTTCTGCCTATCTTTGTCTTCGTTCATATCTTCTACTTCAACATATCTTGCGCCGTCCTACCATCACGATCCCTTGATCACTTATCAGCAAGACCTTCTCGGCCCTCCAGGCATCAGCATCTCTTTTTGCCACCCGTATGCCCTTTTCTCTCCTCATGAACAGCTTTTCCACGATGAACTTCCCCACTATGCCTTCATCACCTTCAACGGCCCATCATCATCATCAACGACCACATGGCTAGAAAAATACGACTCTCCCGGACAACGTCCAGCTGGGTCTTCCTCACAATATTTTGGACTGTCATCAACCTAGCAGCATCGCAGACAACCACTCGCGCGCCAAATTTCCAGGCCCTTTACCGTCATGCTGATGGCCAAAGTAAGTTTCTGACATCGAGCAGGATTAAGACCACAAAAGTGCTATCTAACAGCGGAATTTCCCAGCTTCAACGATATCATGTCCATTTGGCCAGAACTTCTGGACTTCGGGCACCTTCGGAGGATGCTGCGCGCCGACATTGACCGAAAGCAAGTCGTGTGGCATTCCTACACAGTGCCATGCCGGAACTGTTACAGATAGGTTCGGTAGAACACGGACCTGGTAAGTTCTTCCCTCCCTTGGACTTCGCCTATTACCTCGTGGTCCAATCCGTGAATGACATACCAGATCGTTACCTAACAGTCGAACTAATCATTCTTCTGGATCAAAGCGAGACTCAATACCCCGACTGCTTCACAATGACTGTCTACGAGTCCTGGCCGTACGCGTTCAATAGCTGGCTGGTCTATGACTGTGGAAATAATTGGTCCGCTCACACCGTCTTTCGCGATATCCAATACACGACGTGTGCTCTTGCTTCCTCCATACCAAGCGTTGGTACGGTATGGCAGCAAATCCCACGAGCAACGGTACTTTTACAGATGAAAGTAAACCAAGCCCAGCGTCTGGAGTTGGCGGTGCCGTGGCCTCCTCAACGGAAACCGACGTCCCCACAGACTCTTCATCGTCATCAAAAGCCTGGATTGCCGGTGCCGTGGCCGGCCCGGTAGTTGCACTAGTAGCCGGGGCCTTGGGCTTCTGGTTCGGTACCAGGAGAAAACACGGAGCTGAGGCAGTCGATAACAACAAACATGTTGATGCTGTTGACGGGGGAGAAACTGTCATGAATGGTGCGAGGAGTGTGCAAAGAAGCATCCAAAGCCAAGCGATTTGCCGTCCGATCGAGGCTCCATGTCAATACCATTATCCCTCTCCATCTCCGTTCCAACAGCAGCGGCTTTCCGGTCTTTTCCCGGTTTACGCCCCACCACCACCACAACCCATGCTTCGACCGGTGACGGCGGACTCGGGATAGGTACTGTTCGTACAGACCGTAGAACTGGTCACATCTTGGTTCTTGGACTCTGGGAAGCGGCGCAATGGTGTGCGTGTTGTCAGAGGCAAACATCGAACGACAGAGGATGCCACTGAAACAGAGGTGTCCATGTTTCACATATTCCGCGGCTTTGATGTACAAGGCAACCAAAGACGGGTTCAAGCATTGTCGATGCGAATCGAACCGCTCATGTATTACGCGTTTGGTGGGACTGTGTAGCAATGCCTATGTGCGGCCTTATTGTTGACGTCGTTATTAGAGCTCTATAAGACACTCTTGATCTTCTTTATCCATAATCCATGTTTTTGACTTGTTGGACTTTTTGCCGTTTGGCAAAAGCTTTCCGACTCCTTGTTCATTAAGATTTGTTCTATTTCACCCCAATCATGACGATTCACTTGTCTTTGCCGTGCATACTTCTCGGGTTTGTTTATGCCGGAACTGCATCGACCCAAACGACAGTCACAATACCAAAGAGTCTCATCGGTTTCACCACTGATTTTGAGGCCCAAACTTGTAGGAGCCCTAGCACTGTAATGAAAACGTTGCGTTAAAAAAACATATCATGAACCAACCTCAAAGGCCCAAGCTAACGGATGGTCAGCATCATGGTTATCGTGCCCGGATGACAGCACCTTTCACGTCAGTAGCACCTATGCTACATGCATGACGTTTGGTGATGTCTGGTTTAACTCTGATATGGTGACTGCTTGCTCGTGGATCACACAATACCTCGATAATGGAAAATCACATATATGGTATGTCAAAGCCCGAAGCCAGGTTCACCCCAAGCACAGCCTCTTATGTACCTGCCGCACCTTAAGCACATTGGACCTACAACGACACAAAGGACTAAGATCGATCCATTTCCCAGCACTGGATGGGACGCTTATTGCCTCACCACAACCATCTACGAAAGCTATCCCTCAGCGAGCCTCAGCTGGATTAGTTACGGGTGCGAACCCGTCACCGGCGATCGCCACTTCACACTTTATCGCAACTTGGGTACATCGGCTTCAATGCCAACGACCTCTCCCCGAGATACCGGGCCGACAGGGGCACCAAGCCCCGGGTCTTCAGTCTCCGCGTTGTCAACATTGGAACCCACTAGTATCTCTGACTCCACCACACCATCTTCATCCTCGAAAGCTTGGATAGCCGGTGCCGCCGCCGGGCCTGTTATTGCTCTCCTAGCCATAGGCGCTCTGGTCTTTTGGTGGAAGCGAAGAAGGGCTAAAAAGCATGTCCCGGCGTCTGAATCTGATGGTCCGAACCAGGTTCATGAGGCTCCGATACAGTCTCCCAAGTCTGATGAGGTTTCTGAGCTCCCGTCACCGTGGTCTCCTAGGCCTGGGTCCGAGTTAGAGTCTAGGGAAAGTAGGATGGCTGGTGATCCAAGGGCTGCATGTGTGGAAGTAAGGTCGCCGGAGACGGTTTTTGAAGTTGAGTGACGGGGATGTAGGCGTGGTGTCTGGTGAGGGGGAGATACGGAGGAGGCCGTGAAAGGGCGAGGGTTTGAGCGAGGAGGCCGGGGATGATGAGAGAAGAGAGACAAAGAGAGACAGGAAATTGGCGTAATTGGCGTATATGGTGTCATTTTCGGATAAATGAAAACACTCCTAGACACTGCCGTGCTCTTGGTGTTTCACGGGAATCCGAGTTCTCAATCGAAACATAGCTCTCTGTTGTGACAGCCTCATAAGGCTGGTATCAAAGAGTCTAGAACACTTTGTGCAACATCGGCGAGTAAGCGATATCTTCTAGTCTCCGCGTTTTCTAGACCATGGCCTCCGGGGGTGTATAAAGCTCAGTCTTGGCCATCATCTCCCTGTCTTTGTGCAAGCACCTTTTATTTCCGACGTCAGAGCACTTGAAGACTTTTTCAACATCCACTTGCAAACGCCCTTCGGGAAGTTTCGACCACAGAGAGTACCCTTCCAGTGCACAGATACCTCTAGCCAGACACAGCAGCTATACGAGAGGTACATGTTTGTCCCAATCACCCTATACTCAGTCCATCTCCACATAAGGAAAGTCACTAACACATACCCATCTAGACCGGACTATTCCATTTTCTTAAACCACAAGGATGGCCGACGCAGAACTTGTCGAGCTCCTAGGCGTCCTCCTGGAATGCTTGAGCTACATGTACCTCTGCTGTTGTTGCTGCTGCGGTGATAGAAAGGGAAAGAAGAGAAGGGGCGGGAGAAGCGGAAGCAGCGACAGCGAGAGAGGCGGAGGAGGCAGAGACAACGATAGAGAGGATAGAGGTGATAGAGAGGATAGGGGCGGTGGAAGTGGAGGAAATGAGACCCATGGAGAAGGAGGACATGGTGAGGAGCACGGAGGGAGTCATGAGGAGGAACATGGTGGTGCGGTGGTGATGAAAAAGAGGAGGAATAGTGGGGATTTGGGGAGGGAAGGATGCGGAATGTTGATCTTATGAGTTGTAGCATGGTTGGAAAGGAGCTTGACTTGCCGCACCGTAGTCGATGTCCTCGCGCACCCTTTTTTGACTTCGCGCACCACTTACTCCACCATGGCACCTACGCGCCAACTGACATAAAAGATCTACTATTTCGTATAGTAAATTCCGATGAAAAAACGTCTTAAATATTTATTTTTCTTTATACTAAATCGGTAGTGCCCTTAAGACTTATCCTTTTACTAAACTCGGCGCATCGCTAGAGGCCATTCCAGGCGTATCGCCTATCTTATAATATTATTAACTACCAACGTCCCTTCTTATATTATATTAATTAATTGAATTGCACTTATTGGAATTGAATTCCTCCGCCCGATCCCATTTCATTTCTTCATTGCTAGGACGGAGGTTACACTTCTCTTTCCAAATTCGGAACCTCAAATGTTGGCGACAATGTTGGCGACGATGTTGGTGGCATTGGTGAGACTGAAATTTACACCCGAAAACGGACCCGCTTTAAGGGTAGGTGTTAGAGGGTACGCGAAGTCAAAAAAGGTGCGCGAGGATATCGACTACGGTACGGCAAGTTAAGCTCTTGGAAAGAGGGAACCGGAGTAATGGTGGAGAAAGCTAGCGCAAGATTGATGGCAGTCGGTGGATGCTAATGCTTTTTGTTTATGAAGTGATGACATATGAACGCCGGATAATGGGCCTCAACGAGGAAAGAGAACAGACCTGATACAAACTCGTTGGAGGAATGTGGATCGTGCTGTCGAAGAATGGACATCTCTCTAAGTGCCGCCTTTCTCAGCGTGTGCTTTCCCCCTTAACCTTCCATCACCCAAATGCGCTGGCATCCCGTCTGAAACAGTCCGTCCCACGTTCCACGCAACGGTTGACGTGACCCGGGTACTCGAGTACGACCCTAAAATGAAGGATACTGGAGCTTCGAGAAAGTCTTGGAACACTTGTCCAACATCTACCCGTCTGTCCCAGGGTGACCGCTGTCTGTGGACCACATAAAATGGCCTGTTCATCCTCCTATAGGTTCCAAATGGGTTCTATATAGGAGTGAGATCCTATTGAGTAAATGTCCGTGACCAGGGGCGCCCTGTCAGATCTTGGTCGTTGCCCTGCCCACTGATAAGATTGACGTGAGAAAACTCCCGGTATGTTAGCGTCCTGGAGCCATTGAAGCAGACCTACGCTAACCATGCGCTCCAGTAGTCCCTAATCGGCATTCTCCAGAAGGAGAACAAAAACGCCCAAGTCAACACCAACAAACCAGCCACATCCACCACTCCGATGACCAACAGCTCGTGGAATATCGGCGAAGTAATCGCTCTCAGTCTGGGCGTGGTCCTCGTCTTCGCCATCTGCTTCGGCTTCAGGATATGGTGGGGAAGAAGAAGAGACAAGAGGAGAAAGCAACAAGAAAGGGAAGGCGCTGCTGATGTCGAGGCACCAGATGCTGAGACTCCACATGCTGGGGGCGAGGGACGTTACGAAGGCCCAACAATCGTTGAACTGGTTCCAGTCGATACCTCTAGGAATGATGGGGGTCAAGGCCACGGGCAGGGGGGAGGTGACAGTAGAGAACAGGGTGGAGGACATGCTGGAGGACATGCCGGGGGACATGGAGAAGGTGGGCATAGTGGTGTTGGTGGGGGTGATGGAGGAGGAGGAGGTGGTAACGGCGGGGGCGGCGCCAACTAGGTCTGCTTGGAAGCTGTGATGAGATGTGCCATGGAGGTCTTTGAAGGATCATCGGCCGGCTGCGGTGGTGTTGAACGGTTGAGAGCGGCATGTTGTCGGAGCGAAAGTATCTTAACTAGAGATATGGGCATGGGGGGTCAGTGGCGAGCACACGCGTCCTGAGTTGAAGTTCCCGAGGACAGACAGTCACCGCGGTGGTCAGATGGGACTTCTTGGAAATGAGAGTCTGTACGTGCGATAAGCAATGGCTACAACCCTCAATGACAGCCCGCCATTTGCATCCTTCACATGTCACCAGCTGTCTGATAGTATTGATACACCCGACCGAACCGACACAAACACAGATTCTGGCCTCCGTTTCTTCACTGATACATTTGATCTCATGGTGCCTCCACGAGAATCTGTTTGTGCTGCATGCCCGCTGATGGTTGCTCAGACACCGGCCTCGGTGATCCTTGCCACGACATCGTGTTCGGGGTCCCAGAAGCAGGATAGTTGTACTGCGAAGCGGTGGAGGCATCGTGTAGTCCGGGCGAATTCGAACTATAATGTGGAGGACTGTTCGGAGGATAATATGGAGCAGCGGGAGGGCTTGAAGGGCTATGTAGTTGTGGGGTGTAGTTGTTACCATGGGGGTTGCCCACATACTCGGGCTGATATCCGCTTGCTGCTCCTGTCTGTGTCATCGGAGGTGTCTCGATGCTATTTTGGGCGTTCTTCCTCCGACGCCACCAAAAGAACAATGCGCCTAGCAACAGCAAGGCGGCAATGCCTCCAGCGACGGGCCCGGCGATCCAGGCTTTCGACGGCGAGGGTTCTGGGTCTTTTGTAGTAGGAGGCGGTGGGCTGCTGGTGGATGTGGCCACGACTGACGTGAGAGATGGCTCTGAGGTTGATGCAGATGATGATGTAATCGGAGTACTGCTCGTTGAAGTTGCAGAGGCGTCTAAGTTGCGGTATATGGTGAAGACGTTCCAGCCCTCGTAAGCACATGCTATCTCCATCCAACTATTACTAGCCGAGGAGTAATGATCATAGATTGTCATCGAGAAGCAAGTCGCCTGACTTGTCTTACCGAATAGGTAATGTAGGAATACAGTCAGCCGCACAGATGTTCTAGAACGCTTTGTTAGCCTGAAAGTCAAAATGATGGACATACCAATTCCAGGTTGCGTCGTTGAATCCAAACGCTGTACCGGCATTGCACCTGGTATAAAATTGACAGTTCGGGTCATTTCTTGAGCAACATGCCGCCCATTTACTCCATGTGCTGTAGATCCACGGAGAGGAGCAGGTTACCACGTATGCTAAGTTGACAGGTGTCAGAGAGGAAAAAAAGACGCTTCAGTAGGATGAGACTCACGACGTCCATTAAGTGGGCTCTGTATGCCTTCAAAATTATCAGAGAAAGTACTCTGACCAACGGTACGGCTGACCATTCCACAGTACCACAACAGACACAGTTGAACAACAACAAAGTGCAACGTAGTTCTGACTGTGTTCAGAGCCATCGTGATGCACTTCAAATACCTATCACAAAAGGAAAATGCTTTGAGAGGATATTTCTCCGGGACAAAAGAGTATATAAAGTTTGGAGAAAGATTCGGTGGACGAAGTTTTGAGCGGATAGCTAAGAGAACTCGATTGGAAAGAGGGGATAGAGGTGGGGGGAAGGCCATAAAAGTGGAGGAAATGAGGTTCGTTGGTTTTGAAACCACTTTGTCTCACCAAATGAACAGCTTCTGAATGTGGAAAATCCAGCGCCGTCCATTTCGATCAGAGCTGGATTCCAAAGGTGTTGTGTAACGCCGGGCACAGCTGTGGGCGTGAGAGTCCAAGGCTCTAGGCTCGATGTCTTGAGCCGCGATCTGCACGACTTACTTCATTTGGCACCGCGTTGGATGAAGACTTTGGAGCGTGCAGCAGGCTGCGAATGTGGCTGCCGGAACCTCATGTTCTCGTCTTTCACAACAGCGTATAGCTGCGTGATATTGGCGGCAGACGGCTGGTTGCCTTCTGATGAACCAATGAGGTTGATGTGGCTTCACAGCCTGCTGGGCCGATTCCTCGGGTATCTCATCTTGTCACTGGCAGCGAAGGCTAGTTGCACATCCGAAAAAGCGCAGGCGCCGGCGGAGTTGATGGTCTCGATATTGATGAACGACATCCTCAAAGCCGACGACGTGGAGAGAGCGGGGAACACTCGTGTTCATGCTCTATTTGAGGCTGGAAAAGACGACAACAGAAAAGTGGTTGATTCTGGCGTAGAATTGAAAGAAGAGGAGAAACAAAAAGCAGGGCAGCCTAAATACCCGGGAATGGAGTGCCGGCCGGTGAATTGGCCACCAGGGCACGGACTTACACCCGGATTCGGGCCTCAGTGCCTGCCGCTCTTGGTCGTCGCTGCTTCCCGCCGTCGCCGCCTCTTCTTCCTGAAGCTGTTGCCTGCCGCACCTGCCTGCCGCACCTTCCTGCAAAGTCATCGTCCTCCCGCGAGTCCCGTCTACCCCGCGTCATCCCAAGTCCCAAGGCCGTCTAGGGTATATAAGTTCCCTTAGCTGGCCGTTCTCCCGTGGTGTGGCCCGTTGGTGTAATGGTAACATTCCCGGCGTGGAAATTCCGCGTCTGCATACGTGCCGCAGGAAGACAACGGTTCGAGTCCGTTACGGGCCATTACCCTTTTTTCCTTCTTGCCTTCTTCCCTCTTTTTTTGCCTTTCTGGACTGATAATTTGTCGTTTTGCTCTTCAACACGTCCGTCGTTACTCGTCAGGCTTCTTCTCTTCTCGCATTTTTAGGTCAATCGAAAGCTGGCTGGTATTTGCTCCTGTTCAGTTCCCTCTCAGAATTGCACTATACCTATCCAACGATATCGCCGTCATCCAACAATGCTCACTATGATCTACCATCTTCTCATCAACTCAGCCAAATCACCGCGCAATTCAACAGAGCCCCCTTTTCTAACCTCAGACCTCGTAGAGCCTCACGGAGCCTCAACAATAACACCATGCCCCTGCTTACCCTGCCCTCCCGCCGGACGTTGCTCAGTTGCCGGAACCTCTGAAATGATAGGAGCATCGTGCTGATACTTCATCGTCGCATTCTCCGAGTGTAGCTCCGAAACCGGCCGCGGTGATGCGCCCTGCCCTTGCCAACCGGACATAATCGATGCGGTTCCAGTCCCAGAAAGCATTGAATGGTGCGGGTTATGATACTGCGGCGGGCTCGAAGGCGGATAATATGGTGAGTATTGATTTGGTGGTGACTGTGTATGTGGTGTATAGCCTTGAGGTGGTGGCTGGCCCATATAACCCGGTCCCGGCATATATCCCCCTTCATATCCTGTCTGGGCCACCGGGGCCGATGGTGCGGTGTTCTCGTTGTTTGCGTTGTTTTGCTCGAGCGATTTGGTCTTGTTCTTCTTGTTCTTCCGCAGCCACCACCAAAGGAAGGCACCCAATAAGAGCAGGACAGCGACACCGCCAGCGATGGGCCCGGCTATCCAGGCTTTGGATTGTGAGGAGCTAGAAGTCTTTGAGTCTGAGGTACCGGTAGATGCGGTAGCAGCGGATGATGTGATTGACGGCTCTGTGGTGGAGGCCGTCGACGCGGGAGTGGGTGGTTGTGAGGTCCTGGAAGCCTGGCTGGTGGAACTTGTGCTGGTTGACGTGGCTATCTCGCGGTATATCGAGTGAATGGCGTAGTCTGTCGGGCCGCAACCTACTTCAAACCAGTAGTTACTAGCTTGGGGAAATTTGTCGAAGATGGTCATTGTGGCGCAGTTTGGGTAATCTGATGGACTGCGACAATGGGCCACAGCGTTAGCATGTGGGCTCGTCGGTTCGAGGGTGGCCTACTGCGTATGGAATATCCATGTTGGCGGGAGGATGTACATACCAGCGTTCAGTGGTACCAAACCTGTGATACAGTGTATCGCCTACACATTTCGTTGGGAAGTCGCAGTTCGCAAAGGATATCGGGCAGCAAGCTGCGATGGAATCCCTCCAAATGGTGAAGGTACTACCGGTTCCGCAAGTTAGCGTAGTGGCTGGTTTGAACAAAGTTAGTACGAGACGAATGGGGTGTTTTCTGTCGCAGACCTTACTATCTTGGTTTTCGAAAAAGTAGATGCCCTCAAAATCCGGTGGAAAGGTAGTTGTCTGACCAGCTGCCAAGCTGATCATTGTCAAGTACCCTACCAGTGCCTGCCCGACACGGGGTGTTGGGACAAGCCCAGTCAATCTCCGAAGCATTGACATGTTGTCGCCAATAGTGACCGAATAAACAATTGTTGGAAGGTTGAGAGAAAGTTTGGAGGCAAGGAATGGACGGGAGTCCTGGGCCACGTTCTCTCTCTTATGTTGAACCTTGGACCGATGGATAGTGTGGGATTGTTTATCCAAGGAAGACCGAAACCAACAGGTGGTTGGCGTCGGTCGCAACTGTGGCTTCCCAATGTGTTTGGGCTGGGTTCTGAACTTCTGGCTAGCTCAGTTTCAGCAGATTATAGGTTGGCTGATTGAGCCACTACTCCGACAAGTTCGGAGCTCCAGTTTTGCCAGCTTGGTGTAGTGGTGCCAATCTGACAGGTTGTGCCTCGAGCTGCAGTTTCGTTACCCCATGTTCTCGTCTCCTACCACGGCGAGCGGCAGCCGATAGATGTCCGCTCCCGATAGGAGCATGGACGAAGACCAATAAGAACAGACATGTTTCTATGGGTTGCCTGCAGAAGGATCGTGCAAACATATTACTGGGTACGGGCGCGGTGAGTTGTTGGCACGCTTGTCCTAGAAAGACAGGTAGTCGTCGTCGCCTTTGGTCGCCCTAGCAAGGCGGTTTTGAGAAGGCGGGAAAGCTCGGTAGCAGGGTGGCAGGTTGGCGACATGCTCGTAGGGAAGGCTCGTGGTAAAACGTTAGGAACTGGTGATCGGCAGTTGGGCGTCTTCAATGGTCGATTAAATATGCATGGAATACTGTGTAAGAAATCGACTAGTACACCGTGAGCGATGTCGTTTGTCATTGTTGCGTTTAAAGTTTGCGAGGACCAACAGGAGACGCCAGATTGCCGGACATGTTGTTGAAAATGGAGCCAGATGTGCGATAAGCGATAGCGATAACGAAAGCCTGGCCAATCACACTTTCTTCCGGCTATCAATAACAGCCCACCTCCCTTATCACTTACATGGCCGCTCCTGCCCCGCAGCATTGATATGTCCCACATGGATGACAAACTTCCTTCCTTTTCTTGCTCTTTCCTCGATACTTTCCCACCACCATCACTCCCTTTGGAAGGCGCACTGGTATATTAGGGCTTAGGGCATGAATGTCATGAAAAACTCGTCTCCCTACCAAGTACCGACACCTGAAGGTCTTCTTTCCCTTCAACTTACCTCCTCCCCCTTCCCCTCCCACTCCTAATCCCACAACAACACAGCTCATACAGATCCCAGAGCATCAAGCTGATTACCGTGCCGACTCCAAAAATGAGACCGATCTTTGCTCCGAAACCAAGTCTACCTCCATCGGAGTCATTATCGTTGTCTTGATCAACTGGTGGGGGGTCATGTACTTTGGGCTGGTGAGGGTCTGGTTGTTGGCCATCTTGCGGCTGTTCAGGTGCGTTTTGTTTTTCGCTTTTTTGGATAATCACCGCATCATCACGAGATATGCCTGTTTCCAATCCCAAGCGTGGTATGATCCGTGATCCTTCGCTTTGTGTTTTGTTGATGGAGGTCTTGCCTATGTCGAGATCTGGAGAGGCTGGGTGTTTGAGGATCCAGGGCCCTCCTCATGCTCCCTTTCCCGACGCTGGCGTCGAATCTCACTCTTAGCGAGTTCATACAACCCCCAGCAAAGCCAAGTCAGGATCGTCACTACGACGACAAAGACTGCGATAGCTGCCACGTTCTTTTCAATCCCGTCCACCTTGCCAACTGAATCCTCACTAGTGTTGTTATTGTCGTTGAGAGGAGGAGGAGGAGGTTGATTTTGGGTGGGTTGGTTTGTGTTTGGCTGCTGAGAACCTTGCGTCCTTTGAGGATTCCCTGGTGCCCCTTGCGGTGGTTGTCCATTCTGCCTCTTGTTCTTGTCTTGGTTGATGCTCACTTCCTGGCCACGATGTAGCGGTTGCATTCCCTCTCCTCCCAGGCCGCCAGGCGTGAAATCAACTGTAGGATCTGACGTTGACTCTCGTCTTCGCCAGGAAGGGTGGATGATAAAGTCGCTGTTAGTGGGCACATCGTTGTGCTGGTAGTGCTTGTTGTGATGTGGAAGATGGGTAGATGGCCATGGGTGCCAAGTTGCATCATGGTAGATGCCGTGGAGAGGCTCAAGAGAGCAGAAAGGGTGAAGTGGAATAGTAGGTGTAGTTTCATTGTGGGAATGGTTCCAGGGGTTCCGATTTTATGTGGTTTCGGTACTTTTGAACGAACACTAGAGGGGAAAGTTCGGCCGGGATATTCATTACGCGGGAAATACATAGGACTTATAGCAATTAAACCCTTGTCTTGATGCAATGATGACCTGATGATGCGATATAGGAGAGGCAGCTACAAGTGATGAGCATCATGGTAAATTTTGCATGAAAGGCTTCCACCATGTCGGATTGACTTGCTGTTGATCACATAAGCTTTTTCACCAGACATGAGCGATCTGGAAGTATCCGCCTAGAGTGGCTTTGTCAACAGCTCATAACCCATACAGTCTTGGACTTTCTCGGATGTGTTGGCTAATATGCGTAGATGACGAATGCACTTGTGCTGCTATTGCCCCCGGCCATTAAAAGTAAAAGAAGAATCTTGGACCATTCTACACATTACACCGATACAGGAGGCAGGAGCTATAGGTTTGTAGTCCCTGTGCGAGCTCCAGGCCTATCTACCTCTACACACCTCTACCTAACAGCTCGCTATATCCGACCAACCACGATATATCTGGTGGATTAACCAAAGAACAGCAATGATCAACCCCAATCGCCGCCCCAGCCTGAGTCCCTGAGCCGCGGCTATTTCACACCATTCTTCTGCTTCGGTACTTCGATGTCGTGAACGACCCGTCGCTCCCATACCAACCCTTCTGCCTCATACTTTTCAAATTCTCTAGCTCCTTCTTTACTCCTTTCTTGTGGTGCTTGTACCAGACAACCACAACAACACAGATTATTACAGGGATAAGAACTCCTAGTGCGATCTTTCCAATGAGAGCGAAGGTATCTTTGGTTACCGCCTCCGCTACCTCTTTAGGATCACTTTTGTCACTTTTCGTGCCAGGTGTTGCCTCTACCGCTGAAGCAGACCTCTTTGAGGCGCCCTTCCCGTTGTTGCTGCTGTTATCCCCGTTTTCATCACCGCGGACCAGCAGGGCCGTGGTTGTGGCGTCGGAGGAGGAGCGTGAGGCCAGCTCAGCGGGGACTTGCACGTCATGGACGGCTCGGGCATCGCTACGGCCAGGAATAGGACCGGGGAAGTAGATTGTCGTGCGTTGTTGGAGAGTTCCATTCTCTGCTCGCGGTATGGTGATGGCGATGGAGGTGCCGAGGACAAGGCCCAGAGTGAAACGAAGAACGAGGCGTGGTTGCATTGTCGAAGGTTGTGCGGGACTGGAGGCCGGCTCCTCTGTAACTTGTGTGGGAGTTTCGAGTCTCCTCGAGGATCAAGGTGTGGTCCAAATATTAGGCCACCAAAGCTTGTTTCTGGGTGCGCCTGTTGGGCTTGCCGAGGACAAACTGCCTCACGAAAAATCGCCGAGTCTTATATCGACCTGTCTTTCTGTCTCTCGTCAGCGCTGCGCAGGGGCAAGGTTGTGGGTTGCAAAGTGACAAGTCTGCTTCAATGGGACGGCATTGTCGCCCGCTGCTTCTCTTTCAAACGTCAATGGTCAAGCCGTTGCCATAACAGGCGCCGTCGTGCCGGCATTGTCTTCCTTGGTGCGCATGCTCACCGTCCGCCGTGGGCACCATTTGACCAAGAAGTCCATTCGTTTCAGCGTGCCGGGACAATGTATAAGGGATCAAGCCATTGTCGTTGATTGGTGGTGGAGAATGCGCGCACTCAGATGATGTGAGGGGAAGAAGAAAGACGCTAAAAGAGAAGAAGGGCATTGTCGTGACCCGGCGTTGACATTTTCCCGGGGACCGAACAGGCAGACCCGATCAACATGAGAGACGGCAGGCAGTGATTGGCAGTTGCGGGGAACATTAGGGGGTGAACCTCTATGACATGGTTAACGTTTCAATACTGGAAATGCTCGTATAATTGTTATCGAAAAGCTAGTACGCAACAACTGCCAACCAAAGTGACCAAACTGCCCCCCTTGCATTCACCATTGCTGTTGGTCGGGTGGCCCGCACCAGTGCACGGACCAGCTGCGCTCTTTGTCATCAACGTTTCAAGCCCCAACGACATCTCCTCCTTTGCCCTCCTTTGCCCTTCTTCTTTCTCTTTCCATTGACACCATCTTCCTCGGCCGAACCTCCATTCAACCCTAATATTGACCCTCCCACGACGGCTTTGCGCTCTCCTCTGCCAGCAGCCCCCCAACGCCTAGCAAAACCGAGACCGCGCAGAACACCCCGACCGCAATCCAGATGCCCATGTTGCCACCGGTCGAAGGCCCCCTAGGCGCAGCGGCCTCCTTCGATCCTTGATTACTTGCCTCGAGGCTTGTCCCGCTCTCAATATTTGGCGTTGGCATCGCGTTGCAAGTTACAGATGTGCGTCTCGCCACCGCGACCCTTGTGGTATCCCGGAGTTTTGATGTCGTAATGGAACTTGCGGGTTTCATGTACATGGACGGTTGGTTCCCCCAGGAGTTTAGTGACCTTGGGTCCGTAGGGACAGCGCGCCAGTGATGCTGCCTGCTGCTGGGCTCGAGCTTGTGCGGCTGTCTGTCGCGGTCGAGCCATGGTCGAATACTTGCAGGGGCCGTCGCACTTGTGATAACGAAGGAGGCAAAGATTAAGATGGATATGCATCTTGGCGGTGATGAGAAGGTTGGGAGCATAGGGAAAAAGGTTTCAGAGGTGAGTGCTCCTTCTATGACTGCTTTTATTCCCTCTCTTCTGGCAGGGAATGGGTGCTGCGGTTGGCTTCTTTGTTGGACAGGAACGGCTTTTTACACTTCCTATCGGAGCTTGGGTGGGTGTAGTCGGTTTGTGAACAATCCCTCTACGCTCGTGATGAACCATTTCATTCCTGAAGGCCTACAATGCGGTAGAGGAAATCACGGTGCTGACCCACGTAGTTATTCTACAGGCATACAAGCATCTCTATTCTCTACCAATGCCGCACCGTCCACGTTATTTCTCCAATATCCAAAGCCCTCGAAATCAGACCAGACCCAGTCCGGTGGTGATCATACCAGATGATCCGTATGCCTCGAAAAATGACAAACAAACCATATCCAACCAGGAACCCACCCTACATTTACCTGTTACCCGTCGTGGAAAACGGCTACACCTCATTACATACTCTTGCATCTCTTTTCTTCTTCCTGTAGCAGAACCAAGCACCAAGGCCTACTATAAAAGCAACAACGATACCAATTGCTATGTAGTCCGTCTTGGGCAATCCCCACCCTTGCCTCTTCTCAATTTTTTCATCGTTGCTATGCTTCTTGCTTAGCTTGTGAGTATGATCTTTCTTCCCCAAAGGTGTATGCACGCCTGCTCCGCGTCCAGTCAAGACGGGGATGTGAGAGTTATTCTCGTGAGGTGGATCCCCGCCATTGTTAATGTCGGAATCTGGTGGAATGCGTCCGAGGAATATGCTCGGCAACTGGAGACCACGGCTCGTGTCGCCTCTGGGGTGATTCGTCGGTTGCGACTTCTTCTTGGTCTTTCTTCGTCAAACTTGGGGTAGTCGAACGCGACGTGGTACTGGGAGCCGTGCTGAAGGACTCGTGTTCCGAGTGGACGAGGTCCCTGAGGATGAGGACTGACGTCGGCGTCGTTGGAATCTTTGGTAGGGCTATCCCAAGACCGAAGTGAAGAAAACCGCATGTTAAGAAAGGAAGCAGAGAGGCTGGGCGCATTGTAACAAAACTATGGCCGAGTGGCTCTGTTGAAGTGCAGCAGTGTTTGGGTGTGTTGCTTCTTAGGTTCTTGCAAGTGGAAGAACTAGGTAGTGGTCTGGTGATTGTGATGAGGCAAAGAGACTACAGGAAACTAGAGTCACCTCCCTCCATTACTTATAACACTCGAAGGTCCCGATTCCGAGCGTCCAATCTTTGACAAGAACCACAGACTGGGCGTTTAACGAAAGTGGTAACATTACCGCGCGGCAGAAGTGCAGTAAAGATCAGGACTTCAGCAAACGACGGTCAGGAGGAGTAAGTGGCATACTTCTGATCTATTTGCCGTACTCTGCTTCCTTGTCTACCTTCTCGGCGCTTGCCTCACCAACGGAGGATGCTGGGCACGTGGCCGATAACCAACGGCCAACAGCCTGACAAGCTCGTGAACAAAGAACGGTCTCAATCTTCAGCCTTTACGCAAGAGGCCTGCGCTACGGGCTTCCAGACCATCCCCTCCTGTTCCATGCAAGGACTTTGCCCCCAGCCGGACGATTGTCTTCTGCGAGTCAATCAGGAAAAAGGAAACTATGACAGGATTTCTGATGCGTGAATGATGGGAAGAACACCAGAATGTGAGCTTTCACGGGGGAAGAGACACCATGTTCAGCACACAAGGTCAATTAGAGCTTAAACGCCATGCAGTAAAGAACCGAAGACAAACAATGAAACGGTAATTCCATCCCCATCCATTACTGAATCCAATCTACCTGTACTAACTGCTCTTCCTATCCAAACTAGCCCCGATACCTCTTCCCCCACGGTAACCACGCCAGATCCAGCCCGGCTCTCTCTCTTATCCTACGATCATAGGTGTCCTGCACCGCCTCATCCGGAACCATTCGAGAAGTGGCTTTTTCACTTAAGCTGGAGCTACCACTTCGCTCTTTGCCTCCCTCCTCTCAGCCCTTCTGCGGAAGCGAGCCCGTATGATTTTCTTCCACGATTTGAAATACCTCACAGTATCGCTCCCACCCACAATACAAGCGACAATTTGATAGATAAGCCACCCAGTAAAACAAATGCCTATTCCGATACAGACGTACCACGCGGGGTATAGGGGCACCCAATACCCATACTTCTTGTTGTAGTCAGAGTCCTTGGCTGAGTCGGAGGTGCTGGGGGTGCTGGGGGTGTTGGCACGTACGGCCACCGTAGGATCGTTATTATCGCTATCAGCACTTCGGCTGCCGAGGCCGGACCATGCCCTTTCCTCGGCGCCTGGCATGTTCGGTGATCTCTCCTCGGTTGCTGAACCTTCTTGCTGTCTCTCGGTCAGGCGGGGCGTAGCCTTTGATCTCTTGACCGTATTCGGTGATAGATCTGTGGAAGGGCTTTCCTGTCGTTTCCTCGCCACTACCGGAGTGATGGGAGACATAGCGATACTGGTCAATACAAGCGGTGGAAAAAGGACGTTCCGTTTGAACGATGGAGACTGAACCGTGGTGCTTGGACTCGGACTTGGGAGTTCCCGTTTCGAGTGGAGGGGCTTCGAGTTGCGCTCCTTCAGGCTCAAGGAATTCGCTGATGGAAAAGGAGCGGCGGCGCCAAAAGGCAGGCCGAGGAGGCCATATGCCAGCAATGAGAGGAGAGGAAAGAAGCGCATTGCGAGAAGGCGTTGATGAGATGTCTTCTGTTGATCTGAAAGGTGTGATGTTGACGACAGATACGACCGCGGTTTCTTTCTGGATGGTTCTTGCTGCTTTAGCAGGGGCAATGGCTTGAGGGATCATGTCAATCTTCAACGACCACATCTTCGCAGGAGTCTTCGCCTGCTTATAACATTGCTGGAACATGACCACTAGATGGAGAACTTGCTCTTCAACCACCAACACGAGAAGTAATGGTGAAGAAGGCGACCTAAGCGCGCGGCGAAAGTATAGAATGTGCTGTATGAAGGGGAAGAACGAGTTCGTCAAAGTCTTGGAGTCGCGGTAGATTGCTTCTAGCGCCGCGACTTATTCGACCTTATCGGCTCTCATTACCCTGACATCCAAGTCAATGAATCAACAGGGTCCGTTGGTGCTACATTTGCTATTTCCGGCTCATCGTTCAACCTTTCATCGAACCAACAGGGGCACCTTTGAAAGCCTGGCAATGACGCCACGGGTCCCATGGACCACCGCCATTTACCAACAAAGGTTATTGTCTACAACCAACATCCAACGAGCCGCGCTCGCACACTGCTATTCCGCTGAAAGACGCTCACGGTCCTGGAAACACGCATGGCAAAAGGGGAGTCGCGCTCTGGATCTCCTTGGTTCATCCTAACATCTCCTGCAGGCTTACACGATGACCCATCCACGATATACGATCCCATCATGTCCAATCTCAATCCCTACTCCATTTCATTGCCTTAAGTCTTAAACGCCCCGATACCGCTAACCCTCGCATCACATTCGAATCAGCCAAACAACCCCAAAACAACCAACCCCAACCCCGCCCCCGCCAACAATCCCGGCCGCTCCAAGATATTGCTCCCATTCTTCTTTGAACTGCATGCCAAACACCCGCTAGTGGTCCTACCCCAACCACCTCTACCCCCCTTGAATTGCGTGTTGTTGTTATACCCGTCTCCCTCCTGAAGATCTCCATGCACAGCTGCTGTTGCCGAGGGGCTCGAGGGGGGCTCGATGGTAGTGGGCGTGGCCATGGCTTGGGAGTACAAGCTTTTGGCGCCGTTGACGATGTCGTCCCAGGAGAGACGGGGGTTAAGGCCGTGCCCTTGAGCTGGGGCAGAAAGGGTGGGTGGAGGGGGAACGGAATAGTTGATTGAGGAAGAAGGAGGCAGTAGGGATGCCGTCGTGGAGGAGATTAGGAGGAGAACTTGGAGGCAGAGTAGGAGATGCATTTTAATGAAAGGCAGAAAGTGAACTTTTGAGTGAAAGACAAGGTGCAAAGGTGGGAAAAAGGCAAGGACTGCTTGCGATTTATGCTGTAGAGAGAGTGTGGTGATACGGACACGACTGGAGGTACACCCGATCTTTGGTTGGCTATTCCAAGCTGATATATCTAGGATCTTTTCATTGAAGATGAGCACCCTCTTGATTGTTGCCTTGGGTGCATCATTGACTTGGAGCCTGGATATCTAACCCGGGGATTACGGCTTAGTCCTTTGTCACCGGCTTCTCACTTTGTGGGTGTTGGACGGCACGGGACCCTTTTGTGGGTCAGACCTCACTACAAGATGTTGGGGACACACTGGGCCTGCAAGAAGGGTATGAAATGTCCAAATATCGAGTGCATCTAATTGGGAGCTAGAATGGCTGTGTTTCACGCAGTTTGGGTCTCTACGTACCTATGTGTTCATCACCCCAAGATGGTACCAACTGAGCCACTGCACGCTGAAGACCTGAATGTTATTTCCTTGCTTCAACATTCTGTCATCTCATCTTCCGCCACATATACGCCAAAGCTGGACCGCGTCATACCACTACCAGGCCCCAAGACACGCAAATAGACGCCTTGGGGTAATGGAATCTCAGCGACATCCATTGGCAGTGGCTTCTTCTCCTCTTGTTTTTTGCTTGCATCAGCCCTGTCTCTGCACATGGGTGTTGGAGATGTTCTTCATCGGCTTGGTCCACGTCCCTTGTGTCAGTCACTCGAACCCACATCGAATCCATCTTGCGTAGGCTACCCTACCGATCGGCTTCTGCTCCCCTTCCCCAACCAACATGTTCAATTGCTCCTCTTCTTTGATGGGCCGTCCGTAACCTGAAGTAGCTCTTCCACCCTCTCTTTTTTCTTGGGTGTGTTGAAGTGGAAATGAGTGAATCGGGTTTGTTCTCCTTGCCGTAATGGAAACGCTCATCATAAAGCTCCGTGAACTAATTGCAACCCATTCCACCATCGCAGGGTGTGCTCCTCTATGCACCACTGAGAAATAACGCGGCTGCCGTGACTCCGTGAGTGTCTTCAAAGATGGCATTTGTCCGAAGTCCAGCCAAATTTTGCACCTTGATGGGGCTGATCATTGAACATGTGAAGGTCGGAGGCCTCAGGCCCTGAGATGCAAACCTGGAAGTGGCACAGAGTCTGTAGAACGTACCGACGCGGTACAAAGGTCTCGTGAATGAAAAATCCTCCATACGCCTGAGGCGTTTTTATCCTTCAGCCGGCGCTGGTAGCGCTTTGAGGGCCAGCTCAGACTCTTTGCCGTTGTTGAAGGCTCTCGAAGACACATGACTTGATTGTGGGCTGTGGCCACCGGCGTGGTGACCACTATCTTCTGTCACGAGCCTTGTCAACAGGATAGACGTTTATGTTTCTTGGGAGCCTTGGATCTCAGATTAATGATCAGGAAGTTTCTTTGCAGAAGACTGTGGTTGATCGGAGTTTCAGGTTCTGGTCGTGGGCAAGAGGAGGACCCAGAATCGGCTTTCTGGGCTTCGGCACCCAGACAGCGTTGAGAGGGTCCTTGTTCTTCTGTCATCCGAGTTGGGCGTCATGTAGTCCGCTGAACGCATCTTCTGCCGTGTGTGAGTATCGAAGCCTGATGGGCGAATGGGTTAGCGCGCGGTCACACCAAAGACTTGTGGCAATCTTGTACAGGGCAACTCCACGGCTTGACCTGGTTACAATTGGGCTGATAGCTCTCTGGAAACAAGGCGTCGTTGCCGGGATATGATGGTTGAGGGGTTTTCCAAAGGTCGGACGGCCTTCCGTGATAAAGCGAACGTCCTTTTGCAAACACCCTGAGCTCCCTTGGACGGGTGCTCGGTCTGGCGTTTGGCGTGGTGTTGAACATGTCCGTCGTTTTGGGCGGCATAGCCGCCTCGTGCGCCACAACTGTTGTTGTTGTTCTTGCCGCTCCCAAGCGCAAGCGCACAAAACTTGTTGTTAGCTGTAGGCGTAGGATCTGTGCAGGCGGAGATTCAAAGGAAATGAAGAGCGCAAGGACATAGTAAACAGAGCCCTATTATCTCGTTATCTTTTTCTGTGAGTTTGGATTGGGGGTGAACTCACGCCCTGCAAAGGACCAGTTTGTACGGCACCTAGAGGAAGTAAGAGGTTGTCGATACGGCCACAGCCCGAGTCGGAGACAACCCCGCGGAGCAGAGCCCAAGGACCCTGGAGCTCATGTGGCCTGGGCATCCCAAGTCGTTGAAGAGCAGGCCTTATTGGACCAGGTAAACTGCCCCTTTTCTCCGCCTCGAAATAGGCCAGCCGCGTGACGAGGCCGTCCTGTGTGGAGAGTTTGTTTTCGGTACCCTGCCCTCCTTTTCTACCCCTCCTTTTCCTTTCCTCTCTTCCTTGTCTTTCTTTTTCTCCCCAGCAACCACGAATCTCGTCGAAGTAAGTATCCTCCCCTCCCACAGCCCCGACTCCTTCTTCATCATTGCCGTGTGGCCTCCCTCTCGTTAGTCGTGAGATCTACTACCCTGTTGCCCCTCAACCTCCAGCTGACGTTTTCCAAGCCGCGGATCTCATGATTTCGCCGCTGTTTTGCCAGACCAAAGTGAGTCAACCCTCAAGCCCCTCAACTCAGAGATCAATACTGACCATTGCTGCGCATTACGACAGGAACCATCAAGCAACCACCGGTATGTAACGCTTTCTTTCGTTCGAATGATCGAATCGATAGATCTCATGTTGTGCCTGTTTCTTCCCATATTCGGACTACCAACGTAAACACAGCGAACCTTGTGTGTTCTGCTCGTCGAGATGTCTCTGTAAGAACTGTTCCTTAAAGAACGGATTTGGTGTCGTTTTCTGCCTGTAATGCTCGTTGTTGCCGCGCTGGTGCATTCCGCAACTTACCTATGTTCAGTGGAACCTTTTTATCGTAAGGTATTTCATCCCTCTCTTGTCGCGCCGTTTGTACCTCTATCATATTGCAGCATTCCTGTAAACGTTACTCAAATTTCTTGAGGCGCCTGAGACGCGTCCTGAGATCAGCAAGAAGCTCTGGAACACAATAAGGGCACTAGGAGGCGCACAGGCGATGGTCACGTTTATTCTCACGGCTTGGTCTTCTGTCGGCGAGTTTTCCACAACAACTTCGATGTCATTGGCCTCAATTTGGGTGCGCCAGTGCAAGACTGGCGGCTCGAACGGCTCAAAGGCCAAGGTAGCCGCAAAGCGCAAGGAAGTAGCCACGAATAAGATTTCTCGATGGCATTGCTGGCAGCCATTGTTGGCAGTGATGAAAGCCAAAGCACGTGGTGCAATGAGGTAAGAGCATCACCTAATCCACATATTGATCAAGGCCTCTAACCCTTTAACGATACTTTCAGTTCAAAAAGCATGTCAAGTCAGATCCGTCTCCATGACTATGTCCCATTTGCGCCCATCTACCCGGATGACGGCTTGGAGTTTGTCGACTTGTTGATTCCAGAACCGGCACCTTTAAATTGGACAGACCTCACCACCAACTCCTCCTTAACCGACAGCCTTACAATGGAGCAGCAAGAGTCCACATTTCAAAGGCTGGAGGAACGACAGCTGTCGCTGTCACCAGGCCGATGACCATGGAGATGACCACCAACACCAACTGCGGAGATGCCTCCACCGGTGTATCTTGATGTGGAATCACGCCCTTGTCCAAAAAAAGCAAGGATCACAAAAAGAAGTCGGAGAAGAAATCAGCAGCACCCAGGGTTCCTATCACTTCTCGTATTCGATATCAGGACTCGTGGTATGCTCAATCATACGACCCAACTACAACACCGAATACACCTTGATAACAAGGTTACCGTAGTCTTCTTGCACGGCATCGAAGCCCAGGACAATCACCACTTGACTTTGCTTCAAGTTGCCGAGCAAAAGGCAAGCGAAGGAGAAGCCAGAGTGTGAAGAGCAAGATGCCGCGAAAAGACTTCGGTCGTTTGGCTAGGTGGAAGCCGCCCAACAATGAAGTCCCCCGCTGACTTATTCGGGCCCACTTTTCGACTTCGACAAGTTGGCAATGTAAAAAGACAACAGAGAATTACCAGAAGACAATACTCTTTTCCATCAATACCTCCAATCAGACTAAACTCTCCTCAAATAACGGTACTTCAGACGGCAGGCTCCCTCAAACCTTGGACAATGGGCTGCTGCGAGTTGCTTGTCTTGCCGCTGGTGTATAAAAGTCTTTGGTGTAGTTGAACAGTTTGCGAACGCCTACGGGTTAACAGCGTAGTCTTTTCCGGGCTTTCGGGCATCGTTCTCTTCGGTCTTCAACAATACAAGCCAATGTAGTAGCACAATCTCGGCCCGGTCCGTCCCACCATCACGTCCGAGACGGAAGAGGTATTGTTAGTATAGGAATAAACCAGCCTAGTTAAGAATTCCGCCCTAATCAACGAATATAATGATATTTCGGGCAGCGAGAAAGCTACGGTGAATAGTATTGAAGAGACAGTTGAGGAGCAGGATCTAATGGAGGAGTATGTTCTGGAGCAGTGCATTCGTTTTATACGGGGTGGCTTTTGGTCCAGCTTTTGCGGACATACTTAGCGGGCAATTCTGGCTAGCCTCCCCTCTCGTAGTTGCGAAACCGGTGCCGGACTCTAGCTTTAGTCCTCGTCTCGGAAACCCCTGTGCCGACTAGGCGGAGGTGGCCTTCCCCTTTGTTGCCCTAGGTTTTGTGCTTGTGGGTGGCGAGGGCGAGGATGCCGAAGCTTGGAAGGCCGGGGAAGTTACCGATAACGAAGACGACGACGAGAGTTTCCGTGCCCTTGGCGAAGGTTAGCCGGTCGTAGGCGGATAGCTCTTCGGAGCTGGTCCGTCTCCCGGCACCTTCGACTAGCCTCGGTACCAGTAGTAGTCGTAGTAGTAGGAAAAGGGCTAGGGTTTTGTTCGCCTACGCGAGCCTGCACCGTATGCCGCTCGTACCGGTTACGGGAATGGCGAGTAGTGGTAGTAGCCCGCCCTTCCCGCTCGCCCGATATCGCCTTTGCCGTACGACCCCCTCTACGGGCAGGACTGTGTGCCCCTGTGGCCCGAGGAGCGTTCTTTTGTGACGGCTGGTGCCCACTGGCACAGTAGCCTCCCCCCTCGCCCTCCTCCTTAGGAGCAGCCTCCTTTGCCTTTTGTGGTACTAATTGGTGACTATACCCCCGGCTAGTTCCCTTCTCGCCCTGCTTTTTTGCCGCCCGGCCAGTTCCTTGGCCGCCCTGTCCCTTAACCGTACTACCACTACGAGCAGCAGTGGCCGTGGCACTAGTAGTAGTAGTGGCAATAGTAGTAGTAACCCCTTCCTCCTTCGGCGCCCTATGGCAGCCAGGGTCTCTACGGTGCTAGCCCGTAGAGGGCTGTACTTCCTTCCCAGCAGTACGGCAGCCAATACCTAGCTAGCCAGTACCCTGTGGCGCCCTCGGGCGACCACTATAATAACAATAGCGAGGATGACGATGATAGGTTGGCCCGCGGGATTGACGCCAGCCTGTAAGACGACGATAACGAGGATATGGCCCGCGCTATTGCCGCCAGCTTGGAAGACGTCCAAGCCGGTTACTAACGCCCGCCGCCCTAAGCTTACGTCTAGCAGCCGGTCTTTGGCCTTACCCTCGCCGCCGTGGTCACCTCCCATCCCGCCTACGTAGTGGATGAAGAGGGGTGGGAGCTGTATGACCCGGCGGCGTTGGTCGATGTCCCCATCGAGCACGACGACGAGCAGCAGCAGCAGCCGGTTCCTTCCCTTCCCGCGCCTGTCCCTGTGCCGCCCCCTGTCTCTGGCCCTCCGTTTTCTGCCCCGGTCAACCCCGGTCGTGGCCGTTTCCGCCGGTCCCCAACGCCCCAGCCGGACCCCCGTCTTGCCCTCTGGCGTCAGGAAAGGCGTCGCTTCGCTGGCAACGTCACGATCGAGACGCACCACCCCGCCGTCAAGCGCGCCAAAGCCGCCGTCCACCGCCCTCTCCAGACCCCGGACGGCGTGCCGCAGCTGAGCTTTTTCGTCGACGGATCGATGGGCGACCGCCAGTTCGTCTCGCCGGCGGTGCAGAGCCCTGAGGGCGAGCGGTATCAGCAGCAGGACGTGGAGCATCCTGCCGGCGAATCGGGCGGTGTGCGCGCCAAGGACTTCACGATTGGTAGCTGGAGCAGCGAAAAGGTCTTCTCTCCGGATATGGCTGAAATGGCGGCCCTTGCGCAGGCAATGTGTATGTCGGTCAACTTCCTGGATAGTCCCGACCCCAGTAAGAAGCCTACAGTGGCAAACCTTGAAATCTTTTCGGACTCTCGCGAGTGTTTGGGTTTCCTCCAGGCAACCAAAGCTCATCGCGCCCCAAAGGAGCTCCGCCCAATCGTCAAGGCCATCGTTTGGATGAGCCATTACCTGAAGGAAAGGGGGAGTAGTGTCCAGTTGTTCTGGAACAAACGGTGTTGTGCGCTGGGCCCGGGCTTGGCAGATGCGGCTGCTGGGGCGTGGAGGGACAATAGGGGGCACATCTATTATAGCCAGGGGCATGTCGACCTGTAGCAAAGGGACGGCATCCTCGATCGGCTACATGAAGATCTTCGTGCCGCTAGGAACTCTGTCGCGAGGAAGGCTGCTCGTGCGGCCGAGAAGGCTGCCGCTAGGAAAGAGAGAATCCCTTTGATCCCGTTCGCAGGCGTCATTCTGTCAGCTTGGGCGTGTTGGTGTCGCGGTTGTTGACGATGACATTTCCGCTTGGGCGATGGTTGGGTTCTGTTAGCGGGTTAGCGCTATACGCGCCAGTTCTAGGGGTTGACGCTAGCACTCACACTAGCTTTCATCAGATTGCCAGTGAAAAAAAGGGGCATGGGGCATGTTTCAAGGGCACGCGTTCGGTCAGAGGTCCCTCCATATGCTGCCGTGAACTTGTGGGAGAATACATCGGGGCATAGGCGATGTATTGGTGAAGCGTTGATACTGAAGCCTCCAGACGGCTTGTATACAACGTCTCCGGTTCTGGTTGAGAGACAGCTATGCCTCTGTGGCTGCTATGGTAATCGTACTAATACGCGCTGCTGGCCTAGTCTTATATTACGTCGCTACTCTGGCTCGCTCAATCGTATCCCATTCGTATCTGTTCGTTCGCAGTTTCGTTGATTGTGCTTTCTCGCTGGCGGGATGTTGTCTTGCAACGTTGCCTTCGTTCGTAGAAGAACGATGGCGAAGGAACAGTTATATACCCTCGAACAAAGGGAAAAACGCGTTGACGTGATCAAAAGTAAATATTATTATGTTTGTGACCAGTACACTGGCGCGCGCACATAGTTTGTTGGGCGGTTTTGTGTCGCCATTTTGTTGCTTGCGTGATGTTTTGATGTTGGATGGACTGACGTTCCAAGACATGACAGCATGTCGTTCAGAGTGGAGACTATCATCGGATGGAAACCCACAGATAAGTAAATGGTAGCCAATCATTTACCGTTATACATCCGGACAAGGCCTTGTCTCCCGTCTGCCCCTCATTGCCCCGCACTTTTGATATCAACTTTCTTTTCGACTGTCGCCAAACCAACAACACAATTTTCTTCCATCAACCCACCCAAGTTCATCACGCAACCCGAATTCCGTTCATTACGTCCCTCTTTTAACGACAAATTCACACGAATCCTCTCGGACTTTCAAGGCTTCAAGCCCGCAAGGCCTAGCTTGCACCCACACAACCACCACCCCCTCCACCTCCGCCCTCACCACCACCTCCCCCACTGCCGCCTTCACCACCACCAAGTCCTCCACCGCCGCCGCCATGTCCGCCGTCGCCTCCCCATCCTCCTGAGATGGGTTGCGGCCCAGGTAAACCATGCATGCGCTCACTTCCTGTGTTATAACGCTTCCGTCGAGCACACAGCCATCCAATGGAGCAGCACAAGCCGAATACAACCGCCACGGCCAAACATGCGCCCACAATATCGAGGGTATCCGCCATGGAGAAACGTACAAGTCCGACGGTTGATATTATTTCTCGTATTCTCTTGCTGTCTGCTCCTCTGTATTGACGAGCATGATTCCGTCAATACTTGATCTAGTGTGCTTTCCGGCCCCGGGTTGACATACCTGTGGAGGTCAGATGTCCAACCTGACGTTCGAAAATCTTGAGGTTGGTTATTGGCACACGGAGACAGACGGGGATGCCAGGAAAGCCCCTGCATAAGTAACTTCTGAGAAGCTAGTAGTAACACACAGCAGTTGCATACGAACAGATGATTCGGATCTGTCCTTCAGGCATTGCAGAGGTTTGTCCTATTTAGCTATTTCTCTTGTTGCACAGATGTTCTGGGCTCAGCTTGACCTCCGAGTTTGTCTTCAATTTGGTTACACTCGACCGAGCAAACCAGACTCGTCATTCACGTGTGGAACGTGGCACGCGCGATGTCGCTTTGCAGGCTGATAAACAGGTAGATCCAAGGGCCGAAAATCTATCATCTGCCCCTGGTTATGTAATGGCTTTCTCGCTCTATCAACGCCACTCTAAAGCTTATGTTCTCATCACTCAAACCTTCGTTATACATCATCTAATTACTTCGCGACTGGCAGAGCACCCTTTTTGTACCTCCGACATTACTCTTGGGATGAAGTCAGTCGTTCATGTCTTCGGTGTTGTTGGTCGGCAAGTTTGCGAGCGCCAAGTGGTCTTGACCTCGATTCTTGAGGGGGTCTGTTTGACTTTGACCATATGCTATTCGGTCTTATTGCTCTTGTTCTCGCATGCACATCTCCCTGTTCAAGCTTCCTCATTGCCACCTTCGTCGGCATTCTCGTTGAGCATCGTCATCCCAGTCCTCCTCTATCTCCTCCAAAATCCCCGCCCATGTCAACAGGAATACGACCGTGTGTGGATCGAGGGCTTCTACGTGAAGGAAGTGTTTCCATGAGTGTGTAATGTTATTACCGGTGTTAGCGGGTGTTGCTGGGTAAGGGAGAGATGTCGTTGGGACTGGAGGCATTGATGACGGAGTGCCGGTGGTCTGTGCGCTGGTGCAGGTCACCAGATGCAAGGGAGGAACTGGCTTAGAGCTGTGCTAGCACAGCGTTAGCACCTCTAGCGATGTTTATAACCAAAACCAGTTGAGGGTGTGTTAGCAGTCTGATATGCATGGCAAAGACCCCTCACGCCTGATCGCGAACTTCTCTGGCTGCAGCCTTTGGAAAAGTTCAAACGACCGAACAACGACATCCCCTTCCCCCGTCATCTCCCATTCTATTTTATTTCAATCTAAACCCCACCTCACGCCACCGGCAATGCCAATTATTGAAGGCGCGCGGCAATGCTTCCGGCAGCAAGGATCCAACAATCCGTTCGTCACAACGGCAGACGGACGCTGACAATGTGGACAAAAACCATCGGCGTCTGATTGAGGAAACAGGACCGGAGAACCAGGATCCGCAAATAAAGCGCCCGCAATGCTCTTTACCGAAGGCTGGGAAGATTTCAAGGGCAATACAAAGCATTTTCTTACACGCTAAGCGCCTGAAAAGACCGGTGGTCACAGTCCGGCGACGGAGAGATCTGGCTTAGCCGCGGTGCTGCCAGGCCATTTACCAGTCAACTACAATAAACTTTTGAAGCAGAACCGAGCCTTTCAAGCGCGTCTCGACTTTCCTCAAGACTTATTCTATGTCTTTACACAATTTCCTTGACGGCCCTCGAGAACGCCCTTGCCGAATCCCTAGCACTGTCTCGACAACACCACCGACGAAACGACGAAAGGGCCAGTTCCCTACCAGTCTTGCTGCGAGATGCACCAGCACGTTCTCCTCCGCTTCACACTTGTCGTTCCGTTTGGCAGCTCCCGGGCTGTTGTAGTACCCAAACACGAGCCGCGAGATTTCCCCGTCGCCAACTCGACGCGCGTGGTCGACAACACGACAATCTACTACCCCGGTCCTGTCGAACTCCGGGCAGTCCGCTCCGGAGAGACTCTTCCAAGAGCAATCCCAGAGACGAGCACTACTCCTTCGGTAGCCGTATCCGAAGACGGCACCAGTGGCACAACCGAGAAGGACTTCCACAAAATCGACGGCAAGCATGTTTTGAAGAGAACGGGACCACACGAGGAGGGTAAAAAGGGTATGCCCACCGAGACAGGGAACGAAGAATTCAAATAGGAAGAATTTACGAACAATGGATGATATGCGGGAAATGGGTTCGTTCAAAAGTGGCATATAAATTGCGTTCGGTACTCTTTGCGGCCTTGTCTTTTTGGCGGTTCCTGGATTATTTTTGCGGGACTTAAGGGAGATGCGTAAAAAGGAAAAAGAAAGGGAACGTGGGAGTAAACGAAGTTGGGGGGGTCGATGGGTTGCTGTCGGGGAGGCTATGAGATTCCCTATCACTCTTGTTACAGATGTACGGTTCATCGAGGGGGTGATCGGGGTTCATGACGCGCGCCGCAATCTATACATTCATTACCTGTGTTTCTCCTTGGTTCTAATCGTGGATAGGCACGGAATACAATGCTAACGTGGTCTTCTCCCTAGAAACATCGACGGATGACCTTCGCACACCGCTTCCAACGGGGTATGGGATGACTGCTGGCGGTCATAATTTCCCTGGAAAGGTCATCCCCAATGAAGCAATAAACAGACGGGAAAATGACAGCAAGGAGGGGAAGAAGTCATCCTCGTGTCCGTGCCAATGTCCAACAATCGAAGCTCCGAAGAAGAAGAAGAAGAAGAAGAAGCTGTCGAAAGGTGCAATTGCCGGAATTGCAGTTGGGTCGGTTGTGGGAGCTGCACTCCTCCTTTTCTTCGCTCTTCTGTGGCTCATCGAGAAATTCTTTAACTGGTAGACAACATATTTCAAGTTATATGTAACCAAAAGAAGGCATTACAAGGAGATAGGAGTCAGAGGACACGGGCAATAGACGAGGTTTCCCTTTGAACAGCAAACCATCGTGACACACTCGGTAGCGCTTAGATAGACACAGGAGCCACACTCTTGCTGATGAACGTCTCCCGCATATCGGTAGAGATCCACCTGCTCGGGTCAAATATTAGTAGTTCCTTCCCAAATTTACGCTTCGCGGCTTTACGATGAGATGTCGGCATGGCAGCACCCCGGTCGACTTAACAGATGTCTACAAACGAACCGCACGGTAATGTGCATCACGAAAGCTTGGAGATTCCGCGTGACAAGAATTTCTCCACTTCTTACAAGCTAGCGGCCTCAGAACGGAAGCTGATTCACGGCTAAGAATGGAGATATTTGTAGATATAAGGCACGACAGCTCTGCGCGTCCAGGAACGAACTTCGCACCCAGAATCTTCACCGAAGCAGCAGAACCAAACCTCTCCATCACTTCTTGGCCTGCTCGATATAGCCGTTTAACGACCTTTGAGGCCCCAAAACCTCGAGTATCTTCGGGAAAGCCCAGACGGTCTGCCTAGAGCCCGTCTGAATAAATCAAACTGCGAAATCGGCATTAGGACTGTGCAACTACACCCTCCAACCGTCAAGCACAATGCATCCGCAATTACTTTTCAGCCTCCTCCTGACCGTTCTCCTTGGCGCCTCTATGGCATTCGTCCTCCCCAAGTGGAAGCCCAACCCGCGACTCACACCCGAGTTGATCAACGTCGGCTCCAGCAGCAACACCCATCCAGTGAGCACGGCGGTCTACTTGCCGCACCAAATCAGCCCTCATGTGCAAACCGCCCGCACCGCTCCATTACATGTCAAATTGTCAGGACAGGCATTCCCCAACAACAAACGAGAAGAGGCGGAAGGTACGCATTTTAAACACGATACGGAAGCCAGAAGTGCCAGGGACAGCATAGAGGGACATGGAAGAATTTACAGGCGCGACGGCGGGGGATCTAACAACACCATCATTTACATCATTGCTGCTATTTTAAGTGTTTTTTTTCTCATCGGGGGCGTGATCATTTGGCGCAAATTTCAAGGGCATTGATCGACGACACTTGACATTAGGCCGCGAGAGAGATACGATTGAAAGGGCCGTGTTGGGATTTGATGGTGATGGTGCAGTGGGCGGAGATGAGGCCCGGAAAGTGACGATGGCTTTAATGAGGTAGAACGATGAGAGAAGGAAAACGGCGTGGAGAGGGAAGTGACATGGCATATGATACGGCCCAAAGGGGTTCGAGGATTGGACAGCGCATGGTCTCTGGATATGCGATAGAAGAAAAGAAAATGGCACAGAAACATAGAAAGCGGAAATTTGAATAACTCGTCCCGCTTGGAACTTGCTCATGTGGACCACACGCTCGTTATTAGTAGAGGTTCCTATAATGTGTAGCTCAGATTTCTTGGAGCAGACGCCCAATTTTTCTGGTAGATTTGAGGATTTCACCGGCGACAAACGATATTTTGGGGGGGTTTGCGACGCGCTATGAACAGTAGGCGCGTGTTGAAGATGGCTCTAGAGCTTCTTATGTATAGGTCTATCAATAACGGCTCACTGGCCAATCATATTCGCTTTGATATCCCGATGCGGTAATACCCTGCCATTAGCGCCCATAGGGTCCCAGGCCGGTCCCTGCCTCGCCTGCTTGCCCCGCCGAGCCCGCATTGTTGATGTCGACTTCCTCCTCGCCCGTCGCGAACATCCTTTTCCATCACCGGCTTCCCAAACCCAACACCCAAATGGATCTTGTACCGCAAAGAGTTTTCCATCCGTCGTTATCCTTCTTTCCTTTGCCCTCTCACATACGGCACCATGACCGTTTGTCGTGCGCAGCTTCACACAGCCCCAGGCGTCAACTTCCTCCGCCGGCGCCGCGGCCGTTACCTCGTCTAGTCCTGCACCTTATAAGCCGCGCTAGAACCCCAGAAATAGAGTCCATGTGTTATCGTACTCTATTATTGCCATGGAGCTGACCACTACTTGTTATAAAGCCAACAAAGCCGTTGGTCGCGAACGAACAATGGAGAAACAAGCCGGGCTGGACGAGTCAAGAACGAACGCCTACAAACGAGCCAGAGTCTGAGCCAGGTGAGCGGCTTTATCTGTCTCTGGAAGCATTCTCTCAACAGCCCAAGCGCCCGGTTGTCGTGCGTCAATTGCAAAAGAATAAAACTACGTCGTCAACGGGAAGACCGGCGTTCGCTTCAGCGCCTAAACCCGAGTCACCTCGCCATATCTTTCAACATCGACGCACTGTATAGCACATGCTCAGAAGTCGGAAGACTGTGAAGGATCAATGATATTTCAAGGTACAAGTAGAAATGTTGACTAAACCTACCACAACGAATAGGACATTCGTACCCTATTAATCACAACATTACAAGCAAAAAGGAACCTGTCAAGACAGCCATCCGCCAAAAGCCCAAAATGAAGCCGTCACAAATCCTCCTTCGGTTAGCCGTGATCACCCTCTTCGGCGTTTCCACCGCATTCGCCGTCCCCGAGAGGAAGCCAGTCCAACAAAACGTCACTGTTCTCTCCAACAGCCCCGACTCAGCCAACGACACTCGACCGTCGAAACGGTCACCCTTTACATCGCCCGACAATCAGTCCTTGATTGATGGGTGGGAACGGCTCACGGGCCGGGAACCCAGAAGGGAAGGGACACAAGGTACGCACTTGGAATACATTGTGGAAGGTGGGGAATTCGGGAATAATGGAGAGGGACATGGAAGCATTTATAGGCGGGGCCTGGAGGGATCCGGCAAGACCTTCGTGATTATTGCTTGTTCTATAGGGGTTCCCGTCCTTCTCATTGGTATCTGGATAATTTACTGCAAGGTCAGAGGGTCAGTTATTGACTAGGCCAGGCTAAACACCAGTAGGAGGTACTTCTACACCACTTTTATCTTCCATGGCTGAGACTGAGTTCGGAACACATTGGCTAATCAACAAAGTTCACGCAGATACCACGCATCTACCGCCAGATTTAACCAGAGCGTTCTCTGGTTCCCACGACAACCCTCGAGATATTGTCACACGAGACAACCCGAACGGTGCAAGTCGGGTCTACGCCCGGGAGGATGACATTGAAGGTCCGGAAATAGAAAGAGCAGATACACAGGAAGAGAAATACAAGAAGAGCATCATTAATTGAAAGTTGATTCGTCGTTACACTATACGCTTGACGTCTGGGATTGGGGCCGGATTATCTTCCTTGTAGCTATCTTCGGTTTTGCCGGTGGATGTTTGATGTACCACAAGGTCATCAAACCATGGTGGATAACACGTCAAGAGAATAAATCTGGATTTGATGGTGGACTGCAACTGTACTCCTTTTGAAGTTCGACTTCTTTTTTCGCAGCAGCATCTTGTTGAACAAGGGCATCCATAAATGGCCAAGCGTCCTGACCAATCAGACCGCGCAAGTATCTCAATACGGCGGCCGGTACCCCTACATTAGCGCCCGTCTGTTTCTGTGCTTTCCCTGCCGGCCCCGCCTATCAACGTCCTCGAATCCATCGAGTTGTGAATAAGAACTCTCGGCCGCCGCCATCACAACTTACAGTCATGCACTATACGAACGAGGCCAGAGATTGCGAGCATGGAACCAGAAGCTTTACTCGTTCTTCGAACGCAGGCATTCTAGGCGCCTTCTGCTCATGCCCCCCCAAGGCCCCGACCGGCTCGTTGGCGTGGTCATTTCCAAACCGAGAGAAGGAATGCAGCACAAAGGATTGTTGAGCATTAAGGTGCATGCATTAACAATTATCGATCCAAATACGGATCCACTTTGTATATATATCGAAGGTTCTACCTTCTTCCCTTTTTCCCTTTCTTTCTTCTTTAATCAATTAAGTCAACTACTTTTGTTTATTCTCGTACATATATGTATTATTACTACTACGTATACTTCGGTAGGTTATAAGCCCAGAATGCATGTATAAGTTAAATTACCGCCTACCCTTAATATTATTCCTATTTTCTATTTTATTTTATTTGTACCTTGTATTTTTTATACCTAGCGATGACTTCGCTTTGCGGTAAAATTGGAGTTTTATGATTATTAGAGGCCGCCGCGCATATAGTTAGATAAAAGTATGTAGATTTTTAAGTAGCCTGTATAGTAATATATATTGCTACCCCCGCTTCTATAAAATGTTAAAGAGTTTATAAAGTTCTAGTTAAAAGCGAGGAAAATACAGTATATTACCGATTTATCGTTTATAAATATTAAAATAAATATTAAAGAATTTCGAAAGTTCTAGTTAGAGGTTTCACTATTATTACTACTTTAATTACCGTATCCGTAAGTACCCCCGCTATAATTTACAATTAAATATTTATCCCCTAGTAATCCTACGGTATTTAAATCGCAGCCAATTCTTATGTTTCATTTAAAAAATTATCTTTATATTAATTACCTTTACAGTTATTTTTTTATTCTTCTTCGGGCCTTCTATCGCCTTCGCCTCTTCTATTATTATTAAATCCTTTAAATATTTAGGGTTATATTATTATATCTCCGCCTTTCGCTCCGCTCCGCTCCGCTCCGCTCGTACTTTAATATCTAAAATTCATTTAATATATTTAAATTATAAATTTCTACAATATATTTTAGCGCCGTACCCGTTACTAATTATACTGGGTATTATATTTAATACTATAGGCTACTAAAAAACCCTCATATTAACCAATATTTTAAATTGGATTAAATAGGACCGGGCTGTACAAAATTATATTTGTATTGCGGCATTCGGAGTTGCCCTTATAAGTAATAACCCTCTACTATAAGGTCCTATTTAGAAGGATAGTAATTATCATAAATTTTATATTAATTAGGCTATTTATTAATCCAAATTTCTTAATATTATTTTAGCTTTAATTAACGTAAACCTATTTATTTTATTCGAATTTCTAAACCCTCTATTGTAATTAGTTACTACGGTCTTTTAGGCTCTTGAACGCTTTACTAATTTAATCCGTATTATAGGGCTAGCCTATAATGTGGTTGCACTGCACTAACTGCATATGTGCCATACTAGAGCTAGTATTATAGCCTAGAGCTAGATACTTACGCATTGGTTATATACTCTAATTACGTGTAGCCTCACGTGCGCGCGTACGGACTGGCCTGCATAGGCTCCCGCCTATATAGCTAGTCCTCTACGCACACTTTCCTTTCTCTCCTTTGTACAATAACGCATATCTTACCCTACCCCCAACGGTGCCCTCTCGCCCTGTGATAATCCGGACTAGTAGTTAGATAGGACCTTTTTATTAGAAATTAATTTAATAATAAGAAATTGTTTCCTTATTTTTATTCAATAGTATTATTAAATATATTAAAGAGTATAATTATATTTATATAGCGATAGTTGGCTTGGATAGATCCTTAAGGATCTTCAAGCTATTTTTAATATTACGTTTGAAACCTTATTACTATATTAGGGTATAGTAAAAAGTTCGCGAAACGTTAAAACGCGGGTTCTTGGTCGACGACGATAGTAAAATTATTTTTGATATTAGAATCGTATTTAGGACGTCCGATTACCCCTATTTACGATGTTGTATTAATTGCGTATTGAAGAAGTGGGTATTGTAGCGGTCGGGAACAACGGCGGTAGTCTAGTGGCGAGCCGATACGCGCTTAGAAACTCCGCGACCGGAATATTAACAATAACGACGATGGTTAATAGCGCTGAATCCGAAGCCTCCGTAACCCTAAAACCCCCTTAAGAAAATATAAAGAAATTCTTTTTAAAGGTTATAAATTTCTTTAATATTAATAGTCCGTTCGATACCCGCGTAGCGTAGGCGGAAAGATTTTTTAATACCATTAAAGATATTTTTTATACGTAAGGCTAGATATTTTAATTTTGTAATACTTTTTCTAGATAATTTAAAAATAATATAAAAAAGTTAAAGAAAATAATTACTAATATAGCGAAAAAGTAAGTAACCCCCTTAAAAATTTAGGCCGCCGTAGCCACAGATTTAAATACTTAACCGACGGGCTTAAAGAAATCTTATTTTACCCTAAT